TTAATGGCCTGGAATTAAAGTGCGAGTGAAGCAACCAACAACAACTAACGATTGCAAGTACTGAAATCAACCACACTACAACAACAACAACAACGACAACAACAACAACAATAACAAACAAAAGTTTTGGTTTAACTACTACATTAGCGGCGGCAACAGCCGCCTAGTAAGCGTACGCGTGTAAAACAATAGCAGCAAACACAACGAAATTATGAAACCACACAAAGAGAATTGTTTAAAATTTATTCTTGCATACTTTTAGTAACGCCAACAAGGCAACTTCAGCCATATAAATGCAGAGCATAATTCCAATTGATTGCTGTTGCCGATGCCGATGCCGATGCCGTTGCCGTTGCCGATGCTATTGTAGTTGTTGTTCTTTTTTGTTTATGATTCGAATACAAATTTGTTGCTATATGTGTGTGTGTTTGTGTGTTCCTTACATTGTTGCGGTAAAGCTACAAAATAATAACAATTTATACCAACACTAAAACGCACCAATAAACAAACAGTGCGCATTTAAAAGCAAAAAACACAAAGAAAAAAACAAAAACGCAAATGTATGTATAAATAACATACAATTTTTTTATTGAAAATTGTTTTTTTTTTTGCATTTGCATCGCTGTTATAGTAGCTGTTCTTGGTTTGTTTTTTATGTTATCTTAATTGCGTTCGCATTGTTGTTTTAATTGTAGTCTCCATTTTTCCACTTCATATTTTAACATCGAATAATTGTGACTTTTATTTATGTTATTATCATAACATTGCAAATTTTAAATTAACAATTTTTTTTTGTAAGTTAATTTTAAATTTGCGACTTTATTACATTTTTGTTATTTCAAAAAATGTGAGTTCATATTATGAAGTGTGTTTTTTTAATTGCAGTCATTTTGGATTCATTTTGGATTTTGTCCAGCAATTACTATATTTAATAAATAAATAGGTTCTTCGATAACAAAAATTCATTTTATATTATTTTAATTAATTGAATTTTTGGCTGACCATCAGCTGAAATACCCACCATCAGTAGTCTTGGAAATAATTCTTGTATTTAATTATTCGTAAATGATTTTTTGAGACTGCAAGTACCAAGTCTCGAACTCGTGCCCTGCCAAATTTGAAGCTTAGAGTCAGCGCACCTTAACTAACTGACCCAAATTAATAAATAAATATAATTAAGTAGTTCAATGAAGTTTAGTTATGATTATTGTATTGACTTCATATTTGCATAACACTTCAAAAATTATATAATATAATAACGAACTTAACGAATTTCCTCAAATATGTGTAAGACAACATAGTTAAAAGAAATTAAATACTTTTTGTCTCTTATTGTGTCCATTATACAGAGTTTGATTATATTGATTAGATAAATGCAATAGTTGAGAGTAGTAAAAATTTAACGAAGCACTACCGGACAGAACAATAAATGCACTAGTTGCGCGTAGTAGAAATTTAACGAAGTCGTCTTCCGCATGCCTAAAGGAAATAACTTTAGGGAAGCCTTTGCTGCATTCTTATATCTTTTGTTTCTTTGTGAATCTCATCAATGTTTATTCTACCTTGGGTTTTACACTATACAATAAAGTGGCTACTGAATGCGGCAAACAGATAATGCAAATTTTATTCATTACAAATAGATCAGTGGCTTAGCTGCAGGTCTACAGGTAATAAATACACTGCAAAAACAATGTGAAAAAATATTTCTTAGTGTGTCTTTGGCACAATGCTGACCCACTGAAGTATATAGGCTAGGTTTTAATAAATTTCATGAAAATTAATATATATATATTTGTACAAATGATGGTTTGAAACTGTTGTAGTTTAAAGATAAAAACCTTTTCTAAGATATTACGTTGATATAATTAAAATGAATAAGTGGATTTATCTCAATTGCATGAAGTCATACATAATAATATTTTTTAATATAAAACATTTATTACATATATTATTATAATATTGTATATGATATTTCATAAGCCTTGTCAAAGGTTTTAACGCTTGGGTTTTTGTTTTTAATAATAGGGTAGCACAATAGGCCTATAGGTCTAAGTGGATCCCCCTGGAATCGCCGGTATAACCTAATCTAACCTATGTATGATATTTGTAATTATTTATAAATATATTATGCTTTTGAGCTAACCTGCAAGTCTACAATTGTCTTTGCATGCTATTAAAAAGTACGTTTGCCTAATTCTGTCGAAACAATAGTTTCAGTATGCATTATTGAAGTTAACCCATTTTTGAAAAAGATATATTATTTTCATATTAATAATTAATGAAAATTTTTAATTCTTTAGGATTCGGAAGGACGTAAAATGATACCTGAAGAAACTGAGTTGAATAACTCTAAAAATTTTGTTACTAGTTCCATGGATGATGTGAAGCAACCAAACAGCAATGGTAAAAGTATACATGATGCTCAAAATGACAAAGATAATGCCACATGATAAAATTGAGTGATATTAAATAATGCATATATATAAATATATATAGTATATACATATTCATGTGCATATGTGTATACATAAAAATAAATATTTCGTTTTAAAACAAGAAAATATGTAAAATTAGAATTTAATAATAATAAAAGTTATTAATAAATAAACAAAACTATACAGTAAACGTTAAAAAATATAGCTTAATTAGTAAGTGCAAATTGTATTATTCAGATAAAGTTTTTATTTTATGTTTCCGCTACTTACACCTATAATATAACCTTGTTACCTTTATTACCTGATCCATATATTAGGATATGTTACATATATTTTGTTTCAATCGTTAAAGTATAATTTATGTTATTGTGACTAATTTATAAGTAAAAATGTTATTGTAAAATTGTTTTTAAATTAAAAAAATATTTTTTGTTCCATTGTTAAAAAATAAAATAAAATTTAAAATACAAATGTTTAACAAGTTAAGCTTTTTATCTTTTATGAATTGCAACAGGTTTATTTTAGTATAATTTTTATCTGTTGTAAATTGGTATTCGAACGAGAGTGACAGTAAAAAAATGTTTTTGTTTTCAATATATTAATCCTTGCCAAGTAAAAGTTGAAGCTTGAACCGACGATATCATGTCAATTCTTTGCTAACATTGCCTAGTCAAGTTTAGCCTTAACTTCATACTATTTTTTTGTAAGGAGCGAGAGAACAGAGTCAGGGCTTTAAGCTTACAGATAACTATGAAAAGTTTCCCCTTCGCGACCCCTGCAGATTTTGTTGTTTTGGGACTAAAAAAGAGATATCTAAATATCCTATATGCTATTGACCAGGTTCAGATCAGGACCAGAGTTAGGAAACTGTATGCCTTATATCTTAAATGAAATACAACAAAAAAAGGTACAACAAGTGCAGTAATAATTATATTATGAATATCTATGTTAGTGCAATTAAAGTTCCAGGTTTTAAGGACAAATTCTGAGAAGAATCTTCCCAAGATTATGGCTAGTAGCTATGTGAATAATATTGACAAGTTTGCAAGATTGCAATTCACTGTACGATGTATGATCAAAACTTTAACAATAAATTATATTTTATTGATTTAACTTTTCTAAAAAGTGATTCTTTTAATATCTATAAATATTATTTATATAACTTAATTCTTAATGGGTTGCAAAGAAGACGAGGAATTTGTAAGTACATACGTTATTATGAATATTAAATTCATAAATCTAGTATCAATCTGTTCGAAAATAACTGCGATATTAAAAGACTTATCAGTGCTCTGCGAAAACTGGATCTATTATTTCGAATATAAATAAAAATATACGAGTACGTTTGATAAAATTGTGATGAAATTTTCCTTACTCTGAGGTAATAACTACTATACACAGATACAGATATATATAGTGAACACAAATTAACTCTTCGTATCATTTTTATTTTATTTTATTATTTATTTTCTAGTTTCTTTAATTTTTCTCTAATTAATTTAATTTTCTTGAGTTTAATTAAAAGACATCATTTAAATTATAAATATTCTTCAAAAGAATCATCGGTGCTTATTTCGTCATCGATGGCTTCAAAATAACTATTTCCACGAATTTTTTTATGGTTATTAGGTTTGGAATCTTTTTTATGAGAAATTCCATTTGAAACATTTTCACTAATGATCCGTTTCTTTTTGCAATCCAAAGCAGGAACTTTGGTGTTTTTCTTTTCTGGCTTTGCATTTATGTCGTTCACTACATCTCCCTTCACTTGATTTCTCTTGTTTTCTGCTTCCTTGATTCGTATTCTAAGTTGCTTCCTCTCTCTTGTAGAGTCCAGAACTATTTTGTCAATACCAGCATTATTTATAATGGTACGCCAATTGGGATTATTCTTTATAATTTTGTCGACCACGCTGTGCGAATAAAGGTGCACATCTAGTTTAGCAGCGCAGAGATACTTTCTGGAGCAACGAGTGCAGTTGTGCTTAGCATCGTTGTGTTGATTCTCCAAGTGTAGCTTCAGAAATGCTACTGATGGATATGACTTTTTGCAAGTTCTGCAGTAGCGCAGATAAAAACTGTTGCAATCGTGTTTTTTTTTCTTAAGTGGAGTTCTGAAAGTTATGTCACACCTCTTACATAATAAATCGTTTTCTGGCCTTGATTTAGGATCGGCTGGTGGTACTTCGATAAAGTCATTGGTTTCATCTGCATCACTGTCGTAATAAAATTTATTATTTTCATGTATCTTTATATTATCTTCATTAGTTGAAATGGGTTTAGCAATGTTATCAGTTTGGTTCTTAACAGTTTTACTTATATTTTTCTTCAGAGTTGATGAATTTGATACTAAATTTTCTTCATCAATTGTAATGGTTTCGTTTCCATTCTCTAAATTATTTGCACTCTTTTCATCACTAATAGTTTTATTGTTTTCTACTTTCGGTTTGTGAAATTTTCTTTTGTTTTTATAGGATTCCGGCCTGCATGGTATTATATTAATCTTAGGCATTATACATATGGACTCTTCTTCTTCCTCTAGTACATTTTGTAAAATCTCTGCGAACACGTCTTCCTCTGAAATATACTTATTTTTCTTCCGTTTGAATTTACGTCCAAGACGAATTTCTGTAGAAATGGTTGGACTATTAGCCAAGGTAATAGTTATAGAAACATCCTTGTTTGAACATGGTATAGAACACGGTCTATAAGGTGGCATGTGACTTGGCACAGATATTGATATAATTGCATTTTCATAAGTCATAATTCCTTTTAACCCAACTCTAGACAAGTGTTTTGGTATATAAAAGGACATATCCATAAACATGGTTTTGGGTACCTTTTTCACGCACACGTGAATTATTGGACCAGTAAAAGGGATTTCATTCTCCGGTATAAAAACGAAGCTTGTTCTTCGGTAATGTCTTGAGCCACCACAATAATTTGTAAACATCTTGAAATTTTTAGTGCATCCTCTTTGTGGCAATACCCTAGTTAGCATGCATAGTTTACAATTGGGTATTATATTTCGTCTATTCAAACTAATAGTTGGAAGATCTGGAGTAATGAAGTATTTGTTGACATTATAAAGTTAATATTAAACTTCATTTGAAATCAATAAATTTATTATATAACATTAAGTATACACATATACACAATGATAAAATATGGGTTGTTGATTTAAGTATTTGGTGTTGTGAATCTACAATTATCTAAAAAGAAACTCAATTTTCATACAAACTGATTTCAGCATACTTACGCAGTTTCAGTTTAGGATTTACCTAGGTATACCTATTATAAAGATCATAAATATATTTTCGAATCAAACTTTTACATGTAAATCCAGTTACATTTATAAGCACTAAAAACTTTATCATGACGATGATATTGTAAAAAGGGCATAGGTAGAAACACATTGACCTCCATTAGGCACAGACATTAGGCTAAATGTATTTTGAAACTAGTGAGTACAGCTTTAGCAGCTTATCAAAATCTTTTTTTGATGCATCTGTCAATCCAATAGGTAATCCAGAGCATATGAGACCGCCATAAGTTCCACCTGTGAGACGGAAACATATTTTTCTAGATGAAGAGTGCACGTCAGGTTTAGCTCGAATAAGCCCCAGGTCCAGTTCTGTCATCCATAAAGGAGCCATTGGTAAAGATGCAGACGTCTACTATCAGTGTTTTATAGGACTCTTCTGTCCCATAAACTTTCCTGATAGTCTCCAATGGCATCTGAGTTTCTTTGACCGCGGTCTGCATGAGGTCAAGAAAATTCCGATGGCCCACAATTTTTCCGCAGTTGTTCCATGTTGATGCGAATTGCTGCTAGTACTGTTGTTTTCTTTACATAAAAATCTAACGGAAGTAAACCTAGATTGCCTCTAACGCCGGTGTTGGCGTGGTGCGCCGTTATTCCAACACATGCTAGTCGCTTGACCCTATCTAACTTTGCTTTTATTGTCTTTTGGATGGCTTTACACCACCAGACAACTGACGCATATGATATAACAGGTCGGTATAATAGCTTTGTAGATCCATCGTCTTTCGCATACTCTTTTATGCTGAAATACTCTTTTAGTCTTTTCGAGCTTTTCATCTACATGTTTATTCGAAGTTAGTTTGTTATTTAGAAAGACTCCTACTTCACCGATATTGATATGGGACTATTAGTACCGAAAAGTTGTACGATTTCCATTGACAGACTTCTCTTCCTCATGAAGAGGATGGTATCTGATTTCGCCGCAATGATAGTCAGGTCTTATTTTCTACACCATTGTTCAACGCATTTGAGAGCACTTCTCATTACGTTTCTAAAGGTGTTTGGGAACTTACCGTTCATCATCAGTGCTACATCGTCCGCATACCTTATTGTGTGTATGATTTTGATGTCAAAATGTTGAAGTAGAGAGTCTATGGTTACGTTTCACATGAATGGTGCGAACAACCTTGGCAGCCTCCCAGTTCGCAATGATTTTTATTTTGTAGGTTTATCGGTCTTTGACTTAGCATGAAATCAATCCATCCAATTATGAGTGAACTGACTTTTCGGTTAGATAGAAAAGACTTTAACTTATCAAAACTTGTTTTGTCAAAGGCTCCTTCGATATTCATCATGATGGCCATCAATATGCCTCCTTAAGTCAGTTTTCTTTCAGCTGCCCTCACGATCTCGTGCAGAACAGACTCTGTGGAGCTTCAGGGCAACCACTTTTATGCCTCTCTGCCAGCTGTTCATCCTCCACTGATGTCTCCACGTGCGATAGATCGCTTAGACGATCGGCTAGTTGTTCAACCGATTTTGTGACTTTTCTGTCGTTCGCCTTTCTCTTCTTCGCTTTTGCTTCTTCATTTTATTCAGACGGATACGCTCGGCTAAGTCGAGATCAGTCACTGTGATGTTTCCAACTGTTGGGGTTAATGGCTCAGTCTATCGCGGGGTTTCTTCATCTACCATTTCATTGGTCACATTACTGTCAAGCGTCGTGGTGTCTGGAACTAAAGTTATCAGCTCGACCGGTTACGCCTCATTGTCCACCTTATCAGCGTCAACCTTTTCGTTTTGTGAGGTTTTTATTAAAACTTCATTTCAATCAACTTTGTTCTCACGAGTTGCGAAGAGAAATATGTCCACCTGCGGAGACACTCACATTGCACAGATAAGGCTGTTTAAAACCAGTTATCCCGAGTTCGCAACTAAGACTGCTTCTATCCTAGCAGCTGAGCTAAAGACGTAGCTCTTCCACCTTAGTTTGGGGGATGTTATTTCTCTTACATACATTTCACTTACTCACATATTCAGTCAATCATTCTCTCTAATCATTCAGTTAAAAGTGCACATGAGCAGATGTGCGTAAACACCTTTCTAACTCCCTGGAGTCCAGACTTAGCCTGTTAGCAAAGGGATCGACTTATCAGGAATCGTAGCAAGCTACTTTGACATGTACTCCCCACGTCTTACCAGGAATCGTAGATGCTCAACTTTGACCTGTGAATTTTCTCATTTGGTCGGCTTTCACGACGAGCAGACCCTTACTGAGGTGGTACTCTTATATTAAATATTGCCACATACACATTTTTCCATAACGATACCATAGAACATTAAATTTATCTATAATCACTTTTATTAGAAAAAAAATATTCCTGTAATCAGTTTCTAAAGTATTCACAATTTCAATTGCGTGTATGGAGTATCTTTGAAAAGACTTTTCTTTGACATTCTATATTTTCGTACATTTTGGAAATAGACTCCCCCATACTGCTTCTTGTACCAAAGAATCGTCCCTCGTATTAAAACAAGGTGTTTCCATTTTTTTTTGAAAACACACTGTATACTTATCACCACACAAGGCAAAAAATATTATAATGAGTCTTATATGAAAATGAAGTTATTTATATTTTTCATGAAGAGTTTTTGTTATATTCTTTAATTAACCAACTCCAAAGAAGAAACTTACCTTTTGGATTAACTTTATGCGCATGTATTATGTTTTTGATTATTTTATTTTTTGGATGCTCAAGAGAATCTGAACTAGGCACTCCATTTGCAGATAAATTGAGGTTATTAACTATCGGTGCGGCTGATGCAATATCAGTATTAATATTAAAATTATTTGATTTCTGCGGAGCAGAAGTGGAGCCCATATATTTACTGGGATCTAAGATATCCTTGTAAAGTGTAGAGGATTTAAAAATGTCATTTAGGTTTACATGTAAACCATCCAATGAAGTAGAGATATCAAACAGCTGTGAAAGTTTTTTGTCAAATATTGACTCTTCAGGAGGACAATCTTCTTCAAATTTATTTGTTTTTGGTGAATCAGAAGCTTTTTGTAAACCAGAAGTAGTGCTTGAAAAACCAAGTTCCAAATCATTTAAATTTAAAGAATTTTTCTTTTTCAATCCATCAATATTATTACAAATCTTTGCATTTATTTCCTTTATTTTCATTAAATCAGAAGTGAGGGAATCAGGAGCGCAAGTATTAAAAGCACTACAATTGTTGTCGTTACGCAAGTCAGGCGTAGATAAATCACATGTATTGTTTTTTTTCACATCTGATTGGAAGGCATTGTTGATATTTGCCATATACAGTCCATTGTTAGACGGAGTAGCTACGGTAGGTCTTATAGTGTCAATTGATGATGTTGACGACGTATCATCATCTGATTCTGTATCTGAACTACCTGATTGGAGCGGAGATCTATTAGACTTGCAATTGGAATTTGAACCAGGAGTAGATGCTTTCGATTCATCATCAATTGAGTGAGTGTTTATGTCATCAAGGTTAGTATCTTTTTGCAAAGCAGATTCTGTGACAACCAAACTATTAACATCGTAATTTTTCTGCAAATTCGACGTATCCACCCTTTGCAAATTCGAATTATTTACTTTTTGTGAGTCTACTGTAGAGTTATCAGATTTGTCAGTTCCAGAGTTTATTAAATTAGTTGAAGGGCAATTAGCATTTGCAGGCATCTGTAAGCTGGGTGGTGAGGCATCTATGCTATCGTCAATCAGTGATGTAGGTATGTTACAATTATCAACCATCATTTTCTCAGATGCAGATACATCAAAGTTGTTTAAAAATTTGTTGGAAACTGCGACATCAGATGGTGACGCGTTAAAAGCATCATCAGGTAATACAAAAAATGAAGACGAGTCAGAGTTATCCATTATTATCAAGTTGGACAATAAGTCATCATAATTGTTATTAGCATGCATATGTAATAAGGCTGCATCATTGTTCTCAGCCGTCATAAATCCAGAAGGGTCGAGCATGTCATCAGTCTGCAATTCATTTGTAGGACTTCTACACTGATCAACAATAAATGATTCAGAACTTATAAAATCAGCAGACATCTGCAAACCAGACATAGAGGCAGAAATATAATTATCAGTACGTGAGAGTAAGTGGGACGAAGATGCATCAAAACTGTTTGTCATTGGCATAGCAGGCGCTGAAGCTTCGAATGTTTCGTAGACATCTTCCATCGTATACGTTGGTGATTCAAAAATGCTAGACAATAGTGAGTCCCTCAAATTTTCAGTCATTTTAAGGCAGGCTTAAAAGTTAAAAATTTATCTGCATTATAAGTAATTTATGAAATAAATAATAAAGTTAAAAATATTCCAAGCTTTGTTGGTGTTTATCTTCATTAGAAACTTCATTTGTAACTGTCGTTAAATAATTTATATTAAAAATATTTGCATGTACTCTTGTGTTATCATACCACTTTTTGCAGAATTTCTGAAATTTATACATTAAATACAAGTTTAATGTATTTTTATTTTAGAGTTTCAGAACTTTCACTACTTCCACTCATAAATTTTGAATTTCAAAAATATCTTCAAAAGCATTCGGCAAATGTCTAAACAGAGTTGCCAATATTAAAAAAAGTACACGTAATGACATCTTGCCTATCGAACCCGCTTAAATTTAGATATTTTCATTTCGACCAAAAAATTGTTCGCAGATGTCAAGGTCAAGTAAGTTTTCGAATACGCTATATGCTGGTTGAGCTTACTTCTGAGTAAGTCACAAAAGCAATCTGACAACAATTGAATATGCAAATTTTAAACTGATCACACAAATCACTGCTAACAACAAATGAACACGCTAGATAGTCCAATATCTCAAACACTATATTATATTCCTCCTCGGGGACTGCCACCTTCACGTGATGAGAAGGCTCAGTAGTTACGTAGAATCTTCGAGCGATGCCGGCGGTAGCATGCTTCTGGAAGGGCCTTCCTTGCCGGTAAGATCGAAAGAGGAGTAACGTAGCATCGGTACTCATAATGAGCGTCTGTTCTCCAGGTTAGGAGCGGCCTATTTAAAAGTGATCTGTCACTACATGCATAGTTTACAGGACTGACATTGCGCTTGTAACCCATCGTCAGAGCTTTCCTCTCTTCTTTAACTATTTTCTCGAAATTAAACATGAATTACAGTCTCCAATTGGTACGAATCCACCTGCTTCATAGCACGCACAAAGGATTTGGGGGTCTGAAACTCACGTTTAAACAGAATCTCTTCGTTAGGTAGAACTGCAAACCACATACACCAATTTTCCTATGGAACCCTATGGAATGATGAAGAACAAGAAGATTATATTAACGTAAAGTGCAATGGATAAAGTTGTTCAGAACAACTGAGGTTTAATATAATTCAATATTGAATGGACGTGACCGGATAATTGGAATCGTGCCAATTGTGACAATAAAGAAAACTACGATTGTTACTTAGATTTTGTCATACCATAAGCCAAAATATTTATTCGAAGCCTATTTTAAGTCGTCTTCACCAAGATTTGAGGTGTTTGAATTATCTTCAGATATTACAGGAATAGCATTTTAATATTGAAGTTGTCATTGTGTTCCATTAATAGAAACAAAACGAGTATTAAAATTTTTTTATTGTAGTGATGTTTATATTCCAAAGTAATCTTACATCATTCTCTGTACATTATGTAAGTACAATTACAGAATTGATTTCATTTGTCTTGTAATTTAAGTTCAGGAAACTATTTGATTAAGGCTTTTAAGAAATTGTGCTTAACCGATTTATTGGTTTAAGTGCCCACATTTTAATTTGTATTAATAGTATTTTTAAACAGTTAATGATGGTAACCAACATCCATGCAAAATACGCATATTTAGCTTGAATATATGCAAATCTCTCATTTATGAATGTGACAGTTACATTAGCAGAAATTCAAGGGATGTCCGAAGAGACTCGGTATACTCTGTAAAATATGTAGTATACATAACCTTTCCAATATACGGGATAATACAAACAGTTGCGATAGGTTATCACGGTAATTTACAATATTGAATCGTGCTCTAAGGTCACAGCATTCAAAATAATTGACCGTACAGTCAATGGCAGCCATCTTTGAAAACGTTGAAAAGCTTTGACAGTTAAAACTTGGTTAAAAAAAACTACTAAACATAGAAACCTGATTCAAATTGCAGAACTGCATCTACAAAAAAAGATTTCATTTTATGCATTTAATGTATTCGGAATTTATTTATTCTAATGAATTTATTTCAAATTATGCTTAATATAAACCTTACATAATATTGGCAGTATCATACAATACTGCTCCTCTTTGTATCACATTGATTATGTTGTTACTGAAGAACGTATAAACTTGTACCGTACTATACCGTACCATATCTATTTAGACTCTAAAATATTTTGTTGGGAAGTAGATGAGAATATTTCATCATCATAACACAAATAATATAATTAAATAATAATTTTTATATTTTCATATTATATTATTAATACTTGATAATTATTATTAGTAAACAAAAAAATTTGTAACAATTAATTTTAAATTAGCCCAGTAGCTCAAGTATGAGAGAGTTGTGTACCTACATAATACATATTTCAATCACTGGAAAGCCCACTTTTTACAAAACATAAGTCATTGGCCCCAATATGCTCTATTCTATGTCATGAATTCATATTCAGATATGATGAAAAAGTTGCTTAAACACAAGTATAATTTAAAAAACATGAAGTAATTAAGCGGTAAATTAAGAAGAGAACCTTTTGCCATTACCATTCAAATTTCTGTGAATATCTCTTATATGTCCATAACGCTGACCAACGCTGACCGTGTGGAGAGATTCTGTTTAATATTCCATTCATTTCTGGTAATGTGATTCAGTTCCAAAAATTCAATTTTGATGTGTCTAGTGTTTTCAGTACCTATTAAAAGGTGTATAATTTTAAGTATGACTTTACAGTATCACTCGTTTTTCACCAAATTTCCACTCGAACAGAAATTATTATTTACAGGCACGTTAAATGATATTATTTGCTCCTATGAATATCTATAGATATAAATAACGTCAGATTAATATACAACCTACACAGGTTAAAAAAAATGAATTGCGCATCAGGGGCTAATATAGAACTATACGCTAGTTATTGCTGCGAATGTGATTAAGAACTTGAAGGAGCACGACTGATGAAGAATGAAGAGGAACAAATTTATTCCGGATCAGGAATTCAAATACAGAAATGTCGATATTAAGATATGATGATGAAAGACGAGGTTAACAAAGGTAGAAGAATATAAAATGTTTTTTATATACTTTCAATTAAATTATATGTGAAGTTAAAATTCAATGAAGTTAATAAAAAAAATTGCATTTTATTAGATTAATGTATTAATTAAATTTAATTAGCCTCGAGCAAACAAAAATAATACTGACAAGAAAAGGTAGTTCAATCATTCAAAATAGTAGTAGATAGGCTATCCTACTTACCACTATCTAATCTTAGAGCAATCACTCTCTACACGGGGAGGTACGCAGATCTTAGATCAATCACTGAATAATCGTGAAGCTTATAGGCAATACATAAATTAGTCAATGAGATGGGTGAGACCCTGTAGTACCCCCAGCTATCAAAGAGAAAAAGTGCCCAGTGGCGCTGACTCGAAAAAAGAATCAACATCAACAAAATAGAATAGAAAAACTAAGATGAAAATGAAGTTTTAAGTAACCTTAGGGAGTATTTTTTTAAAAATTGTGACTATCATAATTAGTTTTTACACAAAACTAAAAAAATTGTTTAACAAAATATTTGACATTTCTTGAACTTAATTTATATGTTTCCTTTCTGGTATAAGAGACTTAAATCACTGAAGCGAAGCACAGCGTACCAGAGTCTATCTGATACTCCTCTCCTTACCCAGTAACCACAAAGTCTAAGCGAACATATATTTGCGTATGTGCACATCAATCAATTTGCATTATAGGCTGGATTTGAATTTATGATGAAGGAATGATTGCTTATTGACTATCGACCGTTTCTGTGTTTTATGCAGTGTCCTTTTTAATGGTTCCACTTGTAACAGATTAGCTCAGCAGCCAGCATAATTCACTTGGCATTACGGAAAATAGAAATTGAAAACACATAAGCAGCAACGCAACACAAAGACTCTGAGTGGAAAATAGAAAATGAAAAATCTAGGTTAGGACATAATGGACTCATTATTTACTGCAAATATACCGAAGCGTGTATGAAGTATTAGAGTATCTTAATCCGAGGACAATGTTAGCTTTGGTACCATGCCACACAACAGAGCTGTGAATCAAGCCATTATAGCTTAATAGCCGGAGGTACTACGAAGCTTCCTTCAACTTTGCACATATTTGATGTTTGACGTTTGCTGTTTGCCTTCGCTTCAAATTGATACATTGCCTTCGGGTTTTATTAATTTTTCTTTTCTTATTGCGTTTTGCAGATACAAATATGTACGCAAACAGACTTACACAACCAAAACACATTTGTATGCAGGCTATTTCAGCAAAAAACTAAGTTCAGATATTTTCAATTTATGATTTAAACACTTCAGTGGATAATACTGAGCACTGATTTTTCAAATTATTTCGAAATTCTACGTATCTATGATGAACGACACTTAAGGAAATCATTATTCTAATGAAGTAAATGCCAACACAAGAGTAAGTATTACTTATAGTTACTAATTAATTAAATCGAGACAATGCATAGCTTTCTTGTTTTCTTGTTTTAAGTGGATTTCATGAGAGCACTGTACTGAAGTGGAAGGCATGATTTTAATTAATCCGTATGCAAGTCTAATCAATAAATTAAAATCCTATTTTCCACTTCTGTACAGTTCTCTTGGAAAGTCATACTGAACTTGAAGTAACTAAACAAGAAAACTGAACTCCAACCTAAAAATAGTAAAGAATTATTTGCGTGAGTCGTCCTTGGCCGTGTCGAGTAGCCTCCGCCAGTCAGGCCGATTAGTCGCTAGTTGGTAGTACCAATCCCTACCAAATCGTTGGTTACCTGGTATTTCTACCGAAGATACGGACGTCCTCTACCGCGTTTCCCACCTGCGGTTACCGAATCAAACACCTTTCTAGCCGGAGCACTTTCTTCCATTCGCACTACATGATCAAGCCAGCGAAGCCGCTGAATTTTTGTACTCTTAAATATGTCAATGTCGCGGTATAGCACATATAGCTCATCGTTCCATCAAATTCGATACTCGTCGCCAACGCGTAAAAGTCCATAGATCTTCCGAAGAATTTTTCTCTGGAATGCTCCTAACGAGCATTCTCATCACTGTTGGTAATTGTTCAAGCCTGTTCACCATACAGTATGACAGACATGATGAGACCCTTGTAGAGCGTGATTTTTATTTGTTGAGAGAGGGCTTTATTTCCCAATTGCCTACTTAACTCAAAGCAACATCTGTAGAGATTCTTCGTTGAATCTCTATGCTGATGTCATTTTTGGTGTTCACCCTGGTTTTCAAGTAAACAAAGTCTTTCACAACTTCGAATTTATAATTATCAACAGTGATATGGGTCTCAAGATGCTCAGGAGAGACCCATATATTTTGCCCATTTATTTTGCTTAGAAATGATGCTAATATGGTATCCGTATTACTTTTTTTAATAATGAGAAAATAAATTAAACAAAGTTTTATATTTGTAGTTGTTTCATTATTTATTTTTTATTATTTATTTTAATTGTTTTGCTTTAGCAAAATAATTCATTAAAACTACATTTTTGATTTTATTAGATTATTTTGTATTATTACTTTAATAATTCAGCATTTAAATTTTTTAATTCCTTTAAAAATATCTTGCGGTTTTAATTTTGCATTTGTTTTAATATTTTTAATAACCTTATTGTAAGCAATAAAATTTAAATTTTTTAATTACTTAAATTAGTTATAACAACTAATCCACATCGCATTAACTAATAAATATTAAATATTTCATAATAAAGCCTTTAAGCTAATTTAACTTACGAAGACAGACCGACATAAAATGCTTAATATAAAAAACAATTATTAAAATTTGTTGTAATTATCTATAATATTCCTTGTATAATAAATATGAGATATGACAAAATTTAAATTTTTAATATCCGAAAATTATAATTAAAAAATTGTATTTACATTGAAAAGTTTGCATTTTGATTTCAGTTATAATTTGGCCTAATTGCGTTTTACTGAAAATTAATTAATATTTTTTAGAAATGATATTGAATATAATATTAATAAAAAAAATTACAATTTTCGAACAATAAAACATGAACAACAGGAGCTTTCATGAATAAATGAACTTCAATGAAGAAATAGATACTTAGATACTTATAAAGATACTTGTGTGAACAATTTAATAGAAATAGAATCACAGAGAATCACTGACTTTAAGGATTCAAAGATATAACCCTTCATTTGGTAGATGCTGGTATGCATTTGTTATCAAAAGAGCTTGAGAAACACTTATTTTTTATGTTAAGATTGCAATAACAGGATTATAGATGTACCTATGCAGATGTAAGATATATTTAAAGTGTATTGTGAGAAACTCTCTTCAACATAAGCAAGTTTAGGGATTACTTAAGAGATTCATTATTGGTTGATTTGTTGAAGTGGACCACAGTGTATACCATAAGCAGCTTCATAATGAATCAGTGTAAATTTTAATATCGTTATTGGCTACTTACAGGACACTGTAGACTTAATTACCACTTTATGATTATAGGTAGAAAGTGATTCCTGTTGACTCTGTCATGAGGAGAAGAAAACATCAAAACATATCCTATGCAACTGCCCAGCGGCGGTCAGGCGTAGACTGCACTACCTTGGAAGTGGGATCTTAGTCCCAAATCAAATAGGTAAAATTAAGCTTATAGCAATTACGAAATTTATAAATAGTCTAGAATTGTTTTAGTTAAGTTGTTAGGCGCACAATAGATTTTTAAGATTGGGGTGCATTCATAGCCTATTACTTAATGATAATAATAATAATTGCTCCTACCACTTCACAGAGCTGAGGAGTGTGTGTGAATTTTTGAAATGTATTGAAATTTGTAGATTTGAGTTTTTAGTAAAATATTCATGAAAATTAGAGAATAAAATTTTGCTGTGCAAAAATTGTTGCCCTTGGTAGTCCACAAGTCGAACACTTCCGTCACCAAATTTCCCAACTATTCAGTACACTCGAAGATTAGTACAATTGTAATCTTTTTTAATGATTGGTATATATGAAAATAGAGTAAGTAAAGGTAGTCTGTAGAAGATATATCTTTCTCTCTTTAACTGCGGCCTATAACTATTAATTGTAGTAAGTGTAGAGGATCGTCATATATATTAATGTTTTAATATATGTATATACTTCTTCAAGTATATTTCATAAGAATTATGAAAATAATTTAAAATGAATAAAATGAATGATTAAAATTAGTCAATAATAATTAATAATTAATAATATTTAATAATAATAAATCTTTTATAAAAATGTGAATTTTAGCATGTATATATATATATATATATATATATAAATCAAAATAAAATAAAGTACATACATATAACAAGCGATATATAACAATGCGTACAGATATATAGTTTCATATACGGGTATATGTTATACGTATATATGAAGTGTTATGTGCTTAAATTATATTTTGCCTTATTATATTACATAAATATCTAATTACTTTCGGTAAGTTCCGAACATTATATAATATTATAATAATTTTTTTAATTTTTTTAGCAATTGTAAATAATTTATTTTAAATAGTATTTATTTTGCGTGTTTTAGCATTTTACAATCAAATATTTTATTTAGCCTAAATTGGGATTCACAAAGTTTTATATTTGTTTATCTTAAAATGATAAATAACATTCAACAAAGAAAATATTTTTTGTATAAATTTTTAATAAAAAATTAAATTTTAAATTTGGTTTAAATTTTTTGTTAAAGCAGAATGTGAAAAAATATGTGTAGTCTTGCCTTTAAGTTTCATAATTATTTTTATTTTTATTTTTATTTTAATTTTAATTTTTTTGTAATTTCAAATTTTTCACTTCTTATCTAAATGCTCTCGACCTACAACAACTCTGTCTCTGGAGTTTAGTAACAACTCTGCTTTTGTTAGTTCACACATAAGCGGTTCACTTAATAATTAAATAGTTAAGTAAAAATTTCATTTATTATTTATTTATCTTAATTTTTTGAATTAGTTCTGGTAATTTACTGGTAAGTCAATTTGCTTGCCAAAAATTGTCTCTGATAATTAATAATAGTTTATTGTAGATAATATTTTAATATCTATATATAATAGATTTAATATTTCTATTTTTTATTTATTTGTAAATTTTACTAACCAACCTTTACGTTTTTCTATGCGCTCAGATTTTCCTCCATATCACCAATAAACTTTCACTCATGACTTAAAGCTGCTGTCCAGCTGCCTCCGTTGCTGTCTATTGTATTAACGGCGAATGCTGTGAGTTTTCAGTGAAGTCCACTGTGTAGTACATATCGTTCTCTAGGTTCATGGCTAAGTGCCGTTGGAATGGGCGTTCGGGAAGTTGGCCAGCTGTGCTGGTAGTATTTGCTCCGGTTGGTTGCTGATTGTTGTGCAGTAATGTGCTGCCCGTTGTACACTGATTGCCGGCGTTTGATGCTGGCAGGTGACCACGTGACTTTGATGACGAACGCAAGGGATTACCACTGTTAAGTCCTTTACCGCTAAGCCAATGTTTATTAAGTTTATTTTGAGTTTTTGGACGTCGACCGAAACCGAGTATGGGCAAGAATGTGGTCGTGCGTGTAGAGAACTTACGGTATGTTTGATTGACTTTGCAATGACAAATTGTTACCTAGAAGATAATAAGAACGAAAAAGATACTTATTCAAATGAGGCTTTAATTATTATTTCAAATAAGTCAACACATGAGTAAACATACGAGTAGAACTTGTCGGAAGCTTTAGAATTTGATGATTCTTAAATGCTAATAAGTTCGGTGATAGTTAATATGATACTTTTATCACATTTTAGTTTGCAATTTTCGTTAAGGCAGCTATTTTAAGGTATTTCTTTTACGTCACACCTATTCAATTCATTCAGTAGCAGATAGAATTTTGTTAAGTTTGTTTGTTTGAGAACTTAATATATCTATAAGTTATTTTTAAAAGTCACTATTTCTATTTAGCTGTGAGCTATGTTATGCAGACAGTCATGGTCACGTCGAATGTGAAATTATTATTGTTTCTAACTAAATTAAAAAGTGTTAAATTGACGGCAAGAAAGAAAATGCAATTGAATTCCGGACGCGGAGACAAAGCTTTCTGTAACCCGTCAGCTCTAATCCGATTATGTCAAATGAACATATGTTTGATTTCGTAGCTATTACAAGAGATTGTTGTGACAATTCGTCATACGACTGTCTGGCATAACATGGCTATAAAACATGGCTATTTGGCAGTCCCCCCACTGTGAGCATTCACATTTTTTTTTGAACTATAGAGTCTTATGAGAACCTTAACAGGTTCTCATAAGGGACCATTTGATTGGGGTTATATGATAAAATAATTTTTTCATGATTATATGCAGAAAAAATATATACATAAATATTCGCAGGGCTTGAAGTAAAAATTCCATCGTGTGTTTCTTAAAATTGAAGTTTGTAGTCCTGTTAAAATAGAACTTTGCAAAGAGCATGATACGAGTAGTGAAAATAGTTCAATAGTTTTGACTAAAAATGCTACTTGGATTACTAAGAGTAGGACTTATTGTTGCAATTTCATACATGTGGTAGATTATAGATTGACATATATTTTAAATAAAGTCTTAAGCACTTCAAATGAACTTGTAATGTTTTAACTTTATAAATAATAATATAATAGATAATTTAAAAATAAATATTCTACCATCATTACCGTCATTCACTTCAAAATGACAAAAAAATTAAGAGTCAAAAAAATCAAGTAAGTTGCAAATGAGATTTTTCACACATTTAGAATTATTTGAAGAACTGAAGATATAAGGGTATATATACTATATGATGAAATGAATATAATATAGTTGGGCGTTAGGAAAACTTACCACAATGAAAACAATAAAAATAGCTGCAGCCAATACTCCTGCCGCAAAATAAGCATTGTGCAGCTCAATGGGGCTCTTTAGTACACTCGATGAACCAAAAGTTTTGTCATTAAAATTTCTGGCGCTGGCATCATCCACCATAAATTCACTAGAGCTGACGACAGTCTCAACCACAAACTCATCTGCAAAGGCATTTTGGTCGAAACAGAATAGAAATCAATGTTTTAAATTGACTGAAAAACTAATTTGAAATTGAGTTTGTTAAATAATAATTTCTTTTTATATTAGCAATAAAGTGATAAATAAATTGAAAATCAATTTTAATGTTGTTATGAGCTACCTTCACACATTGTGCCAGTGTAACCTGGACGACATGCACAATAGAAGGATTCACCACTGGTCCAGCAAGTGCCGCCGTTTGTACAAGGATTCACATTGCATTGCTGAAACAATGAAAAAATAATAACTTAATAAAAAATATCTCGCGATGCAATAAATAAATGTTGCTTTCTTCAACATATCTATATTAAATTTATTTAATAATATTGAAAAATATAAAAAAGCGTATGTGTTGCGTATTGGTACTTTATTATTCCTATAATACGCAGTTACTTAATGGCTCTATCCGAAAATGGGTCTAGCCGAAGAGATAGATTGTCGACTCTGCTAAGAAGCAGTCGAGACTTCCAGTCACATTCTCTGTGACTGCCCAGCCTTGATCTGGACCACGAGGAGGTCACTGGGTCGAGAACTACTCTCCCTTTCTGATATTAGGAGGTTCGCAATGGCCGATATTCTGGCTTTTATTCGGAAGGCGGAATGTCTACTGTTCGGTTAGGGTCTGTTGCAGCACAAAAGATCAACCATGGACTCAGTGCTTCGATACATTGAGAGCTGGTACCCTGTTTATTCCTATTTCTAATGGCTCCTGTGCTTTCGGTATTATAGTATAATATATAGAATATCTTTGTGCAAATTTTTAGGATCCTTTAGATTTAGTTTCAAGCACATAATATATTCAATCCGCAATGGACAAATGCTTGCATTTATAAATGCTGACTACAAACAAATGTATCTCTTACTTAAATTCACAAATAATGTGGATGCAATAAGGCTTTTTAGCCGATTCACAGTACATAAGGATATACATAAACTTTTTAACTCTCGTGCGGTTTCAAAACTGTAGTGTAAAGATTAAATGGTTGAAAGTATTCACTTCTCAATTCTTGATTTTTGTGTTTGCTTAGGGCCCTCTACATATTACAGCCCTTAGGGCCATATCAAACAGAGTGTAAGGGTCACATCAGATGCTAACTTGTTGTCGTTTTCAATGTGAATTCAAAAATTGAAAATTAGAGAAAGAGAGAAATGTTCATTTAAACTTGGTCATGGTGACGAGGTGGTCATCACCAAACAGAACAGTAAGTTGTAGTAACCATTTATATAATAATGACTCTGTCTGTATAAATGTAACAATGACCTTAAAATATGTACACTACTTTAGTGGTATGTCTGTATGTCTGTGTGTGTAGTGTATGAGTATTTCAGTTTAACATTAATTATCATTATTATTATTACGTATTCTAATTAATACAATTAATATTATTATTTCGTACCGATTTATTTAACAATTTACCAATCAATTTAACAATCTAATTTAACAATCTAACAATACAAAAATAAATTTCAACCCATGACCTAGATAAAATACATAAAGGATACATGCCCAAGAGAAAAGAAAATGGAAAAGAGAATAAAAAAGAAAAACTTACCGTTCTTGGCATTTGGTTACAATCTGGCCCATTTCGTCCTCCTGGGCATTCACAACTAAAATCATTTTCGTGATCGATGCAGCGGTGTCCTTCGGGACATGGTCTGCTGGCGCAAAAATCCACCTTACCATAGCGATGGTTGGTATAGAAAAGGGAGAAGAAAAAAGAAAATTACTTTAAAAGGTGAAGCATTAAGGGAAACGTGAAGTGCAAGAAAAGAAAAAATATTAATCGATTTTTCTTAATTGCATCTAAAACAGGAGTTTGGAAAATATGTTTTTCCTTTTAATATTTATGCTAATCAAATTTTTTCCACCTTCACGACAGCAAAAAAAATGCAAGAATTTCAAATAAAACTGAATTTCAAAAGCAAACTTTTGTGTTATGTTTGCTTTTTGCATATCCTTTTTTGCTTTCGTGTTGTGTTCTTCTTATAATTCTTTTTGTCTCTCAACTTACTTTTATTTGACAGCGCTTGCCTGTATATCCTTTGGTGCAGCGACACTCGTAGCTCCCAATGTGATCAATGCATTCGCCGCCATTCTGACATGGATTCGATTCGCATTCATTATATTCGAAATTGCAAATTTCACCAGCGAAACCTTCGCAGATGCCAAGGAAGCACAAAAAATTGGTAAAACAGTTGTACAAACAAAATCGGAAAGTAGGGACAATACGTAAAAAACCAAGAAGAGTGCTCGCAAATAAAGTAACTAATGGAAAAATGTATCTTTTAGTGAAAATCGAAAACAGGGAAGTTAATCGAAATGATTTTGTAGCGCATTTATGCAGATGATGTGGCACGAATGATTTATGAGCTGAAACGTGAGCAATGCTCATTTCATTCCATTTAAGCTCGTTTCATTTATTTAATTTAAAATTATAAAAAACTAAAGCGATGTCTTATACTAACTACTGCAATACGAGAGAGGAAAGGAGTTCGTTCATAGTGGATAATGGACAGCTAACTTAAAAAAATGTGTTCGAAAAACTAGCTAAAAAATAAATTTTTTATTAAGAAAAAAAAGTAAACAATTCATTATTATTTTAATTAAATAATTTTGTTTTACGAAAAATGGAGGTCAGTGTACTATAGGAAGGAAGTAGTTGTCTTGAAAGTGAAACACATACACATAAGTATTGGAGTGAGATGGAAAATACAAGTAAACTCCAAGATGTCTTTAGCGGTCGATAAACTTTAAAGGTAGTCATTCAAGGGAGATATTTTTAATTATTAAAATAAGAAAATTAAGATTTTGGTTAAATATTTTTATTCATTAAAAAATTTAATTTATAGCAACTACATTTTTTCATGATCACTAAATATTCGAAAACGAATATTCAAATAAAGCTGAAATAGTTCTAGAATGCATTTAATTCGGGTTACTTTTAAGTAATTCGGGTTACTTTTAAGTAATTCGGGTTTCAATTATTCAAAAAAAGTAAAACCGATATTTTTGTCGGGACGAAAACCGGAACCGAACCGACATACGTTTTTTGTCTTGAACACTGGAACTGCGCGAACAAAAAAATTGAAGGGTTTGAATCTTAAACTTCATTATTGAAACGAAACAAAATAGAGCCATTTTGAAAGCATATGAGATAAGATGATTAAAAGTTAATTATGGCCATGGTCAAAAAAAAAAGAACTTTGGAAAAGAAAATAACCCAACGACTGATGAGAAGAGAAGTGATTCTGTATTTTCAGATTGCAATGGTGGTAATGTGAACTATTATCTCATTTTATTGTATGCTAAATAAAACGTATTTTAAATATTCATGTGTGTTCGATTTATTATCTACGAAATACTAGCTAAATATTGTACGTACTGAACTTAATAAGACTTAACTATTGCAGTACAAAGTAGGTCTTCTCTCTCTGTTTATCTTGTAAAATTAAAATGCAAACTAGGACAGAATTTCTTTCACAGAAAAGACAGGGAAACTTTTTATCTTGATGAGGGGGGGAGGGGTAATAAAAAAAATATTTGTTTATAAGATATATGATATAACAATAACGTAAGAAATATCTTATTTTTATTCATGCGAGGAAAATACAATGTAATGTTTTTCGATTTACTACGGTGAACTGCGGGTATTTATGTTAATGCCCCCACCCCACATAAGTCAGCAACTGTGACCTGACACAGATTACCCACTTTTACACTACAAACCACTGCGTTTATGCAACAAACTTAAAAGTGTCGCGTAATTGAATTCTTTTCAAGTGCATAAGAGTAATTTTATTTAAAGCTATAAACAAAATTCTTCTAAAAAAACAAACGCAAGCACAAGCACAAAAACAAAAACAAAAACAAAAATAGAGCACATCGTACACAAGTTAGTAAAATGAAAGCACAAAACAAGAAAAAACAAAAGCATAAAAATGTGAGCTTACCTGGCTGACAGAAACAGCGGAATCCATCCTCCTGATCTACACAAATGCCATGTACACAAGGCGATGATTCACATTCATTGAGGCTGTGCTGACACAATGGGCCCGTATAACCAGGCGTGCAATCGCATCTGACAAATTTTCCAAAGCGAAAAAGAGACAAAAGTAAAAAGTAAAAAACAAAAAACAAAAAACAATATATAAAAAATGCATGAAATGGTTGCACACATTTGTGGTTTTGTTGTTGCAGGTCAACGTGTTGTATATTGCATATATAGAAAGGTATTACACACACACACACACACACACACACGCAGCACAAACATATTTACTCAAAATCATACAAATAAATAAAGGTCGCCATCGTCAGCGTCAGCGTCATCGCCATCGCCATCGCCATTTTCATTGCTTATTGTTATTCATGCTGGTAACGCAGATTTTGCTGACTTTGTTGTTGTAGTAGTTGTTGTTTTTTGTTGTTTTTGAAACTTGGTTTTATTGTTATTGCTTCGTTTTATTTTTGTTGTGTGTTTTGTTTTTGGTTTTTATTGTTATAGTTTTTGTTGTCATTATTGCGGTTTTATAGTTAAGCAAATGTAGGTTTTTAGTTTAAATACTCATAAATGTACTTCATAGTGCAATCACCGAGGCAAGCAACCAGCGAATTTTATTTTGTAAAGATAAGCACTTTTAACTTACATGGTTTGGGTTTGAGTGAAATTGCGTTTTTAAACAGAAATCTTCTATATTGAATTTGTGCCTGGACTTTTCAACCGTTCACATACACTATTGTGTAGTGGTATTAGAAGGGGATCTTATATTTGCCACGTAGTAAAAATACATTAAGTACTTTGTTAGCCCGTTAAACCAGATATATCTATCATTGAGTGCTATGTATGGATTATATGGACGGTACATTTGCATGCAGACAAGCTAGAGAAGCCATGCCATATCGATCGAAAGCCAGAACTAGGGTGCTACTTATGCTGAACAGAAGTGGCATTCAACTTGTCACAAGGTTTCTCACTGAGCATTGCGGAGTTAAAAAGCATCTCTCGAAGCTATGTATTACTAGAGACGATAGTTGCAGACTTTGTTGCGAAGAAGAGGAACACATTTTGTGTAACTATGACAGTCTTGCCAGACTCAGACTTCAATATTTATCCATTGCCTGTCCAAAGGACATAATGGCTTTCTGCTTAACTGCTACTCGTCTATGGAATTGAAGTGAATATGTCACAATAATCCTCAAAGATTGCAGTGACGTGGTGACAAGTTCCTAACCCGTTTTAATATCTAATCTAACCTGAATGGTGCCGCTATTGACAGATTTTTATCAGTATTAAATCAGAGTGTCAACCATGATTGACCAGTTGTTTTTCTGAATAATGGATCAACATAAAACAGTATTGAATTTTATTAGAAAACATGCTGCATAAGAAAAGTTTGCACTTTTGATTCGGTGGTTTCTTTCAAAAACATCAAGTAAGTCCCTGGAATCCTTTTGAACGACTAGAATCGTTTGAAGAAAGAAAACAGATGACTTGTTAAAAAAAGCAGTATAAATGTATTTTTGTGTTAATATTTGATGATGTGACATGGATCTATTGAAGAAACGTATCACTAAGTAAGCTAAGTAGATAGCAACTAGGCAAAAGCGGCCCAGATAGACCAAAAAAGTTTTACCCTTTGTTATTTGGGATAGGTACAGTATTCCATTAATTGATTATCTTATAAAATATAAATGAGTCAGTGTTAGTTAGAGTTATAAGCGTAACTGAATTAAAATTGTTAAAAGAAACAAAACACGACAAAGAGTGAAGAAAAATATTCCTTAAAATTATATGGAATTAGTGGCTTATTTAAAAGAAGTTTTGGCAACAAAATGAAGATGAATAGAGAAGAAAAAAGCACTTCATTCTGAAAAGAAGTCTGAAAGAAGCACGAGAGTGAAAGATTTGCCTAGAAAAAAGTATTAAACACAGTAACACAATCTTGTATTAAATCCGAAGATTGATAGTTATACAAGAAGGGCATCCAGAAGTTAGAAAATCGTTGGAGTAAATGATAATGCCAATTAAAACGAATATAGCTCAAGATTTATATTTTATTTTATTTCTACCAAGTCAATGTGTGTAGTGTTTGAGTATGTAATATAAAAAAATTCTTCAAAAATTTAAATAATAAAGTCTTCAATTCATTCGTTTTTACTATTTTTCATAATTATACACAATGAAGTTTTAAGCATTATCGATTACAATCGATGAAATTCAGATATACCCGTATAATTTTTCACTATTTAACATCACTGCTTCTTCAAGCCGAGTTTTAGTGTTTATGATTCCATATTAGTTATTCAGATTTTTGCTAAGTACATTTTGCCAGGTGACAGCACTTGAAATAGTTGCAGAAATTTTACCGAACACTTAAACAGTTGTGCAGAGTTTCTTTTTTGATTTAATAGATTTGTATATTTTTTTGTCAAATTGCGTATTTCTCATAGGGCAGAAATAAAACTCATTACACTTGACTTACATTCAAACCTACTCGTCATGATTTTGCATGTCATAGCTATGAGAAGAAACTGTAGAGCTCTTTCACTCTCAATTCCTTGAAAAGTAAAATTGTACTGATTTCTACCAGAAACACAAGCAAATGTGTAAATGTGAACACATTTACTGGTTGAAATTTTGTATTCAGATATATAATGATATTAATTTAATGATATTAATTTTGCCTTTATTATTTCGATATTTACCTGAAGTGGGTGGAATTGCCCGCGCAACTGCCGCCATTCATGCATTCAGCAGGGTTGCAGGGATCCGATTCGTATTGACAATTTTTACCCGTGTAACCTATTTGTTGGAAAGATAAAAAATATTAATTTCAGAAAATGCTTAAACAACCAGTTTCGTTCCCTTTCCAGTGTTAAATTTCAATTAATAATTTCCTACTATTAATAAAGTTAAAACTGCTGCATAAGGCTTTGTTATATTTCGCTATAATTTATTTCATGATGAACTTTCCTTTTTAGTCTAAATAATAAAATAAATTTAAACAAAGAACAAAACGAAAAATATGAAAATGAAAATAAAAATAAAAATAAAAATATAAGTAATAATAATTATAATAATAATACAAAAATGTCCTAAGCTCATTAGTTCGAGAAATACAAAGAAAATAGAACGAAATTAATAAAAGCGAAGAAACCCCTTTTAGTCTTGTTATCATTTTTTGGTGCCATTGAAATACAGAATACCGGAATACCGAAATACCGAAATACCGAAAAACTGAAGTATGTACTAAAATTCTTAAATGTATGGCGTTAAATTATATTGTCTTGGGCTTTCCATATTTTTTTGGCAATTTTATGTTAAGAATTTTTATTTTTTAATTATTTCTCTTAGTCATTTGGTTCTTGCCCGCATTTGCGGTTTCGTTCTTAACTTGTTTTTAATGACCCCAATTGAGATTAGTAGTACAACACTGACCTGCGTCAATGCGAGGACCGAAAGTGAAAGTGCTCAAAACCGTAGGAAGTTGTGGTACTAATGGTAGTGGGAGGGGCCGTTGCGGTTGGATTTATTGTTGGAGCCCTAATAGCATTTTTAACTGATGGCACAAATTAATGGAAAATTTAACTTTATTCGTTGTGTTTATGGCAGAAAAGGATTTTTTTCGTGTCGAATTTGTGGTGCTTCAGCGAAAAGTAACATTTAAGATACTCTTTATGTACTTAATATACACTCGTATTCAAAATAACGTCTTTTAAATCCCTAAAAAGAATACTAATTTTATGCAAATTAACAGCAAAAAACGCACAAAAATTGAGTGGAAAAATATTTTTGAAGCTTAATTCTAAATAAAATGCTAATTGAAAGCAAAGTTGACCTTGCAAAATTGAATTATGAATTTAAAAATATGGAATTCAATTCAAAAATGTTGATTTGATTTTCTTTGAATTCGTTGAGAGATAAAAGCGAAATATTTCACTTTTGAATTAAGAATTAGAAGTGAAACATTAAATATGTAAATATTTTTATTATGCAAATTCCTGAATATACTTAACCAGACCGCTATGCTCTGCTCTTGCGCAATGGTAGATCTCGATGGAGGGCGTCGAAAAGCCCAGGCCGCTCCCCATAACAAAGTGGTTAATAGATTTACGGCAACTAAACCAAGGTGGATGTTGACGATACAGTAAGGAAATGCAAACTCATCTACTTAAAAACTGTTTCATTTGGAGAGTAATTCTAAGATAAACAAATCACAAATGCAAGTCCGTTGTGGAATGCTTTCTTTTTCGATTTCAGTGAGTGAACTTTAGTTCATGCAAATGAGATTTACAAACGAAAACCAGTTGACAAGTTTTTCGTTTATAATAAACGAAATTGCTTTCTGAGTTTGCAAGATCGTCTATAATTCTCATTTCCTATAAATAGGTTTTTAAAAATATGAATAAATCATATTTAGGACATATTCATCTCTCTCACGTGTGGGTGAATACGATTTGGATAATCTTTAGTCTCAATAATATACTGTTAGATGATATATTTTTAGGGCAACTTCGACCTATTAAAGAAAGAGTATAATGAAGTCATAGATGTCAATCTCATAAGGCACAGCCCAATAAAATAACAAAATGATCGATTGCACTTTTTGATATAACAATTATTTTCGTTGAAATGCAGTAATTGCTGTATTTGACACGTAAGATCCTTTTGAAATCTTTATGGAATTTACAAAAAAATATAAACACTTTTCGTTTTCGTTGAACAAAATCTTCAGCAATCGTACTTAACACAAAAATACTATCAATTGTGGACTAATTTCTCCAAAATCTTTGGTACTCCTATTGGTACTGAGGTACAGAGGTAAAAGCTTTCATTACTACACTGAGAAATGTAATTCTCCCGTAATGTGATAGGCCATTTTCATTTCCTTTTTTAAAATTGTAAATATTAAGTTTTCTTGGAGACTATATGGAGTTATACTCGTTCTCAAAGAACTACTGCAGGCTACTGTATGGCAGACCAAAAACTGCAAAAACATGTTCTTCACAAATTCTGCTATTCTATGGTCCAAGCTGTACTTCCCTTTCAACTCAGCCAACTTCAATAATGAGACTTGAAGTACTGTACGAAGTTTCCTGTGAGTATATATGTATATATATATATTGTGCCCTATGAAACAGGACTTCAATGCTTAAAAATCCTTTGTTCTCACCAAAAATATGTTTAAAATGCAGTCTTGCAATCAGAATAGGTTGTCGAAAGCATTTATTATAATATATTATTGCATGAAAAAGGTGCTCTAATAATAAAAAAAATTTTATTTAATATTGAAAGAAGCAGTGAAGGAAGTATAAATATCGATTTGAGAAAAACCTATGCATTGAGAATAGCGAATGGGTTGAAGTATTTGAAAATATGCCATTAATATAAGAAATTATAACAAAAACCCTTTCTAAAATTAATGCACTGTTTTTGATTATAAACTCTAAAGGGAAGCAAAGGATTAAACAAAGACAAGGGTTTGATGAGGATATTATCAAACGAATCAATTAATTTAAGTGATTAATTAATTTAATTATATGTTAACCGCTCAGGGATTGGATAATGGAAGATATTTAAAAAGACAACGTTAAAAATTAAATTTAAAAGTAAGAAAAATTAAAGTAATTACTGTATTTTGGAAAAATTGTATTTTGCTAAACATTTAAATGTATAATAAAATATAATCCCTGATGCGTATTTTAAGATATAAAGAAATAAATTTTCTCTATTATTTACATTGTTAAATTACTGATAGAGAATCCTATATGGCTATTACATGTCCATTTGCCTACAGATTGAAATATATAGATTCGAAATTGATAAATTAGTTTGTTTGTATTAGATTATAAAGGATTGGGTTTTAATTTTGTCAATGAAATGGAGTCAATGTTTCACTTCAAGTCAGTAAGAATTAATCAAGCAGAAAGAGTACTCAGTCCAAATTATTAATATATCTAGCAAGTTTTAAATGGCAGCTGTAAAAGTTTATGTTATGCCAATAATTGAAATAGCACTTTGGTGTTATTTTAAAAAATAGAAAAAATTGAATATCATTTAATAATAAAATTTCTTTCCTAGTTTATTCCTTTATTATAAGTTACTGTATTTAGTTAACTAAATCTAAATCTGGATTTTTTATTAGAAGTCATTTAGATTTGGTGACAAGAAATGTAATCTCTGACGGTTTGTCATTATTATTTTTATAAAGTTTAAATTGTACTATGAGTATTCGTCCATCGTTTTATATAATAATTAAATAAAAATGAACTTACCGTAAGGACATAAACACTGGTACGAATTGCCTTCATGTCCTTGTGACAAATCAATACAAATGCCATTATTCGTGCAGGGACTCGGTGTACATGCATCAATTTCCTCGCAATGTGGTCCAGCAAAACCGCTACAGCATTGGCATTCATACTCCTCTATTGCCGGACTCGAATAACAAACACCTTTGCCGGAGCAATCAGCACTCTCACCACAATTTTCCGTTTTTGTGGTCACCTTAAGTCGGACACATTTCGCAGCCCAAAGTTCAGATACAACTGTTTCGTTGTGATCCATTTTTATTGCAAGCATGAGTAAGTAATTGTAAAAAAGTGGAAATTTTACACATTTGTACTCAGCACCCAGAGGAGACTTAGAGTTATGTGCAGGAAGACAGGATGTGAATCGAGTGAGTTAGCATATAAACGAATTATGTGTTGTGTAACTTAATTAAGCTAGTGCAAAACTTAATTGGGAAAAAGTTAGTTGAAAAAACCGTTCACGCCGTTCATACCGTTCACACCGTTCACACGGTACAAAAGTAAAACTAACATATGTATATCATATACATACCATATGTACACATATATAAAAGTAATGATGTTATGTGTTTAGTAAATAAGAAAAAGTGCAAAAATAAAGTTTCAGAAACTTAACTAGAAAAGTAGATAAAAGTGTCACAAAACTAAATAATAAGCAGAGCACATGACGTAAATTTCGGTAAAGTATGTAACTCTGTTTCCTCTAAGTTATGAGCCATCTTTGTATATATATTTATATTTCTTCCACTAACTACGGATATTAGCTTTATATTAAATACGGCGAAGTTCCCGGCACCGCAAAAAAGTAAACGAAAGCGCAACTGCACAGATACTTAAGCTGCTGCTGACACTCATGCAAACAACTTCCGCCGCTTTTCGACTACATACTTACCAATTAGCAAGTTGACTCCCTCGGTTAGGTCCTTATCGTAAAGTGTCACAAGTTTTCTGCCATCCACTACAAGCGGTGTGATATCCAACAGGATACCCTCGGTTGCATCGCAGTGCTCGTGTCCGGACCGCGTTACCTGATAAACTTGAATTGGATGAGCCCTGGAAAGAGACGAAAGAAAAATGCTGAAGTGTGTTAATTTTTCATTAAAGTACACGACTTACGAGTGTACGCTAATACGCAAAGAAAATGTATAATTAGCTTTGAAAGGAAATTCGTCCTATATGCCAGGTGCTTTCCGTGCGAGACAAGAACGTGTGTTTTTATGGATAAAATTAATTGTACCTTATATCGCAGTTTCAGTACACAATGCGATTAATCAGTTACATTTAAGTGTGATTTTTAATTACAAGTATTATTCGAAAAAGATATGATTGTGTACTGTGATGAGATGTATTGAGATTTTTCACATAAAACATTGTTACTATAGACTTCAATTCATTTTATCTTTTCATTCATATATCATAATTTTTTTTCTACGACATATTGTCCAGTAAAATTAAAACTAAAAAACTGGGTTCATTGTTGAGAAATAATTAGCAACTGAGACTAAATTCGTAATGCAAAGGAAGCACAAGCCGTTCATATCAATAAAAGCGAATATGATTAGCGCATGGAAATCCATATAGGAAAAGCAGTTCCAAAATGAAACACAACGATATTCGAAATAAGATTAAGTAAAAAGCGGGAGACATGAGTAACCAAAATTTACAAATTTTATTGCTAACAAAGCAAAAATGGAAGAATAGATAAACGATCCAAAGAAGCTTCCGACAGGGCTTCTACACATAACTCTATGATAGAGAAAATGTTGACATTGTTTATAGCTTTAAAATTATCTATTTTCTTTTTTTCTTCTTAAATGTTTTTAATCAAAATATTTTTTCGAAGCCGAAAAATTTTTCCAATTCTAGAAACAATTATTTAGGCCGATTTTTGGAATGGCCTTCAAAACGTGCAATTCGGTTTTAATTTCCTCAATCGACTCGAAACAGTGTTCTAAGAATGACCTCTTGAGCTTAGGGGATAGTTAGAAAGCATGCTGTGCTAAAGCAGGCGTATACGATAATGTCAAACATCTCGTCTATAGACGATACATGCATCAAAGAATCATATGTACATGACCAGCGATTATAACACTGGAAACAGTGCTTTAAAAATGATAACTCTACTTCAAATTCAGCAGGAAGACTGTTTTGAACCTCCTTTATGGGCAATTCCCAACACAGGTGAAAAGTTGAACTTCTTTATTGTATTTATCGTATTTGTTAGACCTGGAGTAATGTCTGCACTACATTACTTACGTAGAGAAGCTGTAATATGCCAAGTGGTTGCGCAAGAAAATGTTTAGTATGATGTGATGTTGATATATCAGCGGAATGACCTTATTACCAGTGTTGCATAGTTGCTCGACAAAACAAACAAATAAAATTTTTCTTTGAGTTTGTTTATTGCCTGCCCTCGCTGCGTACATTTATTATGCTTCTCCATTTCAATGCGCAAGCAAAAAGGATGTAAACTGTTAATAAGCACATCAATTAAACCAAATAAAGCACATTTACATTCGTTTTTGTGCTTCTGTACACTCACGGTTTATTTTTCCACTTCGTCCTTCGTCCTTAACTGGCGGGGGAAGTGTGTTTTTTATTACCTCTGCAATAACTCATTACATTAATTACTGTGATTTGTTACATGTACGATTGAGTGCCACCTCCGAATTTCAATCATGGCTCATGGCTCATGGCTTACTCCTAATTCATTAATCACCGAACAACAAAAGGATTCGACCGCTGGCAGACAAAGCGATTTCTTACTGCAAAATGGCTTCATTGTGTGTTCGCAACCAACACAATTAAATCGTTTTAAATCGTTAAACAAGCCAACACATACACGCATACACCCGCTCGAAAGAGCCAGCCAGAGACAGAGGCACGCACACATATCAGCACATGAAGACAGGGAACTATTCAAATATGCTATAAAAATATTTGCTAACTGTAATTGTAGTGGTTAATGTGAAAATATGTGGGCATTTCGAAGTTTAACCGAGAAGGAGCCATTATAGAAAATTTATGTTCACACTTTCAAAATATTTTCTTATTCTTATTTCTAAAAAAAAAGGGGATCAGCGAAAGACGAAAAGAGTGGGAGAGTGTGTGTGTGTCTGCAATGCAATTTAATAAACTGTAAAGCATTTTATAATGGCAGCACGTGAAGCGAAGTAGTGCTGAATGGCTGCAGACAAGTCGACGGAGAATCCTTGAATCCTTGAATCCTTGCAGATATAAAAAATATTGAGTAAGATTCGAGAGGTAAAAACTTTAAGGCAAAAAATGCAAAAAATACCGAAAACTACCGAATAAATGCAAAACAAGCACGTTTACAACTTCACTTACAACTAAAACGGCTGTAAAGTGGTTGAATTGATAATAAGGATTCGGAACTCGGCGCATTGATTTGTGAGGGTGTTCACTGCTTGCATTTTTATTTGGTTGTCTGGATGACATAAAATGTGGAAACCAGAAGAAAGCTATTTAAATCATATGAATTTTAAATAGAAGCCATCAAGTAAAATTAACTATACGCTTTATTAGTGTATAAAAGGGATTGGAGAAATCCTCTTATATATTCTTTTTTAAAAGTAAATCAAAATGTCAGGTGAACTGATTGCATTTCAAGTAACGCCTTTACAAGAAATAATATAGATAAGAAAGTAGTATTGAAATTTATATAAACGATGTCTGTTATCAGAGTTACACACATATATAGGTGCTCCCATGGGTGTACCTTTGTAAAACCGTTTGAACAAAGAGTACCATTTTCCGAAGGGCTAATACTATGCAATAGAAATCGATCAAAGTGTGGTAAATATAATATATCCGCCTTCTCCAGGTTCTTTTGCTGATGTCAATAGATTTTTAAGAAAAGATTTTCTTCAAAAAGCACAAGATAATCATTTTGCACAAAGACAACACTTACCAAGGCCGTTAAATTCTAAAAATATTTAATTTAACATTTATTAAATAGAGATATACTCTAACACATAGCACTTTGATTACAATTATTGTCAAGTATTCTAATATTGTGTATGAAACAAAATTATTGTGAATTATTGTGAATTATAGTGAAGCCAAAACTTTTGTTAAGGGATATTTGTAACCAATCTTCGATTTGGACGCAATGTTTGATGGATAGTATAAAATATAAAGCATTCAGTTGTAGAAACAGAAAAAAATATAATATGGGAATGTATATACACGACGGATTTATTAAAAAAAAAATATTTAAAAAAGTTTAATGGAGAAAGAAACTTTCCATTTAAACAGGAATAGAAATAAATGGGGTACCAGCTCCCAATAGAGCGGAGCCTGCGATCATGGTTAATTGATAAGAATTGTGATTCTAAAACGTTTATATCATGAAAACCATTAGTAAACAAACCCTTGCCTATATTTTCAATAAAAATATTTCCTTATTACTTGGATTCTAATATCTAAGAACACAAAACTATTGAAATTTTAATAAATTATGGAAAATATAATATGCTGCTCTCTCACAAAAACATTGTCACATAATAGATTTCAATGTAAGCAGCTCGTAGTTTAAAAATTTATATTAACAAAACATCAATGTCTAAATATTCTCGAATATTTATACGAAAAATTCGTTTTAGTTGATGAGAATTATAATTCGAAATTGTTACAAAAACAAGAAAACCAAGAAAACCATATTCATGTGACAATTTCGAATTACAATTCTCATCAACTTCTCATAGTTGATGAGAATTATAATTCGAAATTGTTACTAAAGCAAGAAAACCATATTAATGTAACAATATCGAATTATAATTCTCATCAACTAAAACGAATTTTTAATATAAATATTCCAAGATATTTATATTTGGGTGTTTTGTTAATATAAATTTTTAAACTTCGAGCTGTTTACATTGAAACCTATTATATGACAATGTTTTTGTGAGAGCAGCATATTATATTTCCCAAATTTTATCTAAATTCCAAGTTTTGTTTTTTGGATATTAGAATCTAAGTAATAAGAAAATATTTTTATTGGAAGTATAGGGAAGGGTTTATTTTCTAAAGGTAATGAATTACAATTCTTATCAATTAAAACAATTTTTTTTAAATAGATTATAAAAGTTTTGTTTCTTTACTAAATTTTCATATTAGCTGACATTTTAAATTTTTCTTATATATCCCATCCGATAAAAATATACTAGAAATAAATCATTTGGTTAATGTATTGAAAAAGTATTTTTCTGTAGTAAAAAATTTGATATGTAACAGGTCTCAGTAAATATGTCTACATTAATAGACCCTACCGATACAGATATTGGGAAGTGTTTAAAAAATAAAATTTGTTTTAACTGATATGAACTACTTAATTTGATAATCAATTTCCCAAAGATAAATAAAATATAAACTTTGACGAAATTGTTTAAATTAAAATTGTAATAAATATTAAAAGCACGTGCTTTGTTTTTATTGGCAAGGAAAAGCATGAAGAAATGTTGTAGTTTCATTATTATCCACAAAGCATTCCTTTCGGAACTTGTTTTTTTTTGTGGTACAGATACTGGAACAGAAATCATAATAGTAATAATGATATACCATAAATAGATAAGGTCATAAAACACAATTCGCTGAGTGAAGTGTAGGCATTATCTTAACGTGATATGATCTTTTCTGCTTTTTGAAGGAAATTTTTTTTTAAAAAATTGTTGTACTAAAAGATATTAGTTCTTAATGAAAAATTTTAATCAGAATTAGCTCAAGATTTTAATGTTGGTTTAAAATTTTTTCGTCTATTCGCCATTATCAGATAGAACTGCACATCCCCCGATTTTTATTCACTTTTTAATCAATTTGATATGCTAACAATGTAGTAAGAAGTAAGTAGTAAGTTTTAACCGTTGAACCGAAACTCAGCAATACTTGAGTATGTGATTATTTTTATTTATTATGAATAACTGAAGGACATCAACATTGTGCGAAAAATTTCATTCCAAACGAAAATGGAATTGAAATTAAATTACTTGTAACTTTAAAAAATAATCGATAATTCAAGGAATACGAATGGATCACTTTCGTATTCCATGGACACGTGAAGAGTTCACGTAATTCTTAACCGCAAGCAGTAAAATAAATTGAAAGACACTCTGCATACTTTTGGGGATATCTGCTGCTTTTAGAAATAATTTCTGTCGATGTATTCATAAGCAATGTACAATACACAGGCAATTATCTTCAGTCACTTAAAAATAACTCAAATTAACATTTTAACTTACCTCGAAGTGTTTCGACCGTTGAGGAGGGCATCATTAATTTCCACAATCAGAATGTCGCCGTATTGTATTTCAGCCTCGCCCTGCCAAGAAACGGCTAACGGTTGACAGTTGCTTTCCCCTTTGCAATTTTCCGATGACTGCAAAGATAAATAGAAGTTAAAAACTCATTAAGAAAATATCAGAAAATAAAAATAAAATAATTTTCAATATTTACTTAATATTTATAAATTGTATGATGTTGTGTTTGTGTAAATTTTGTGGGAAGGAGCGTAAAGTTTCATTTGATATTGTTTCAAATACATTTCTGTTTTGTATATTAAGTTTTATTTACTTTTTGAAACCAGCAAAGCAAGAATTTTTGAAATATTTTTTGTAAATATAGTTTATTGTTGTTGTATTGCTGTTGGTTGGCTATATTTTGGTATAGTAGTTTGCCAAATGAACCCAAAACACAAAAAAATTTACATAACCAAATAGAATGTGTGGATGCACAACCGAAAACACAATAAGGGACTCTGCCATAGTTTATATAGTATCAACCGCATAACATAACCCTTTCCGCATATCCGCATGTCCTGCAGTGAGTGCCATGCCGTTTTATTTAACCAAACAAAACCAAACTTCACAAACCGAACCAAACTGAACCGACAAAGGATATTAATAAAATTTATAACATTGCCACATGCGGTCGAATATGTACATTTTGTCTTCAAATTTTATTAATTTGGGATAACACATAGGACAGACAAATTTATGCTCTTTTAATGTGGTGTTGAAGCTATTGAAGCTGTTGAAGCTGTTGAATTGTTATTGCTGTCGTCGATTATGTTTTTATTCCGTTTTTGAAAACATTTCAAACTCTTAGCATACTTTTAGGTTCATCCGTTGCGAATGTGCTACATTTAAATATTTGCTGTTAAGTTGCATAATTTATTAGTTTGCGCACTTTTAAAATATGGGATAAAATGCTCTTTTAATAAACTTATGAGGAGAAAGTACTCAAGCAATACTTACTTGAAAAGGTATTAAAATAAAATGAGACTGTCAAGCAACACGTAGTAGCTAACACAGTAGTTTAGCTAATATCCTCAAGAAAAAACCTTATAAGTGCTTTGCGCATGTATGATCACATCATATGTTACTGATATTTTGCATATATTTTATTTATATAATAAGTGAGATTCACACATTAATAGCATTTTCAACAACATGTTCGTTCCAAGTGTGAAAAGACTTGAATTTGTGTAATCGTTTTAACAAAACAAGAAGTCATTAAATTTATTCCAAATTACCTGCCTTCAAACGTTATACTTAGAGCTCAGATAATATATTTTAGGTACTATCTTATAGGTTGTACCTCACATGGAAAGAAGGTATCATATACATATCTAAAATGTTCTTGTTGTTTCTTAATTCGGCATACTTTCTTAATGAGCTTTTATAATATCTCTAACGCTAAGGTTAGAGGCTTAACATTGAGGTTTGCTCGATATCCATTTATGCAAATATTACGTTTTCGTTTAAATAAATATCTTGTCTTATGATAGCCAAAGTATGAGTAGAGCATCTTCTGGGTGAATAAGCAAAAAATTCCTTTTCTTTTTACTCAACTCTTTTATTATTATTTTATTATTATATTTTTGTCAGCCAATGCTTCTTTATTAAACTTATTGAACATTACATATTTTTTCACATATTTTATTGACCTCTCACTCTACTTATTTACATATATATCTTACTTTATTAAGATGTATAAATTCCATATAGCTTATCAAAATCTCTTGAGTATCTTATTCTGTCTAGGTTCCACAGATTCCGAAATCTAACCATAATGTTCAAGCTACTACTATTCAATATAATGCTCCTACTAGTACTAAACTTGAGTGGTGCTAAGCTTGAGTGCATAGCAAAAAGCACTCTGACCTCTTAGTACTGTTCAAACAAAAAAAAATTATGAAGAATTGCTGGCCGTTTATTTAAAAAAGGTACGATTCTGATGACGTTCTGGTTCGCTAATCATTTACTTCGTATAAGTAAAGAGACCCCGACTCGAAAAGCCGTTTGTGAAAAAGTTAAATGGTAAGCAATATCTGTGTTGGAAAGGTGGTGAATACAAAGAAGCTAAAAGCCTAGAGCCCCTTTAGGGATTGGTAGAGAGATTTCTTGTAGAAAGCCTAGGCAAAGTACCAGTTGATTATCCCACAGCGATTAAATTCTTTGTAAAAAAGTGTTTTCAAAGCCGGAACTACAGAAACTTAGATCAAAATGATAAATACTTTTGGTTAGGTAAATTTGATCTTTCGAAAACTGTGTTTTCTTAGTAAGATGGGCTTTTCAAAATTTATCGTGTAAATTTTGAGGATTAAATTAATGCAAAAAATTAATGCAAAAAAAACTATATCAATACTGAAAATCATAGAAAAAATACAAGAAAGGTTCAAAGATCGTTGTGTGACAGAGAGAAATTCAATGAAAACTCCACGTATTTTATTAGGAACACTTGACAATATTTTTTTAAAATGCATTGAGCTTCAGAATGTAACGAAAACATATTTTAATCCATTTTGGAAAGGATGACGAGATAATGAACATTGTTACATTATTACAGATAAGACTTTTGGATACACCATTATGATAACCAAAATAAGGGTGTAAAAGGTGATGTTACGGAGCATCATTTATTCAGTTATTTAAGATACAGAGATAATGCAGGTAACCATATTGATGAAGTAATGTTAAATAATAATTGTAATCTCATCGATCTGTAATATGTAGAAATTTTTAAAAAGACCAGGTTTACAGAACAGAAAACCTATTTACATTAAAACAATGGACCTGCTCTCAAAGTTTACTTCCTCAAAACTTAGTATAACTTATTAAGGTATAAAATATTATAATAGCCAGATTTAAGTCCTTGAATTATTGGGTCTTCTCGTCTCTCAAAAACATTTCTAATCGATGTATAAACTGTTAGATGGGTAACAGTTTATACTCAAAACTTTCTGAAAAATCAGTAGTGAGACCAAGCTTTAAGTAGAAGGTTCGTACGAGGTATTGCGTTAAAGTTGAAGGATATTGCACTGAAAAAATTTTATTCGTTTTTCCGTTCTCCGAACTTATTCGTTCGTATTGCGTTACATATGTGTCACATAACTTATGAAATTATAATTTATACCGACACTTTTCGTTAACTTTCTTTCAGTGCCTAATGGACTTTCTTTTGTCCATTATAGACATTACGTGCCGGTTATAAAGCACATAATCTTACAATATTTTGAAAGTCTTGCAATTATCCTTTCCGACCTCCGCAAAAGAATTTCTATTCGAAGTTAACGTATTTAAATAGACGCTGCCTAATTTGTTTCTTTAGTGAATTATTTAACCCTAAAACTTTAATCCTCTAAGTAAGTTATTAGCCTTATACGGCCTTGTGTTAGGCTATAAGTAAATAAATTGGATTTTATACTTAATACACCTATTTACCTTTCCTTTCTGGAATTATTATTTTCAGTTCGGTTTAGCTGTCATGGTTGTTTTTGTTATGATTTCCACTATTGTTGTTGCTGTTGTTGTTGTTGTTGTTGTTGTTGTCGTTCTGGTTGTTTTTATTCGATAAACTGACTTTGGTTTTGTTATGTTAGCTCTACTTTCTAAGTTGCTTCGAGATTTGTTTTAGTTTGCCTCATTTCAATGGACTCGATATTATTTGTTGACTTTGCATAAAGTTTCATAAGCAAACAAGCACATAAACAGCACATTTGAAGCACTATAAATTTATTTATTTTTTCACCATAAGAACAACAACAACAACAACAACAACAACAGCGAAACGCAAGAAGGATGCACGAGCGATGGGATGCCCAAAAAGGAGCATTCGAAAGTAGTAGTTTTTAATGCTGTTTTCATTTCAGCTCATTCGCTTTTTTCGTCCTTACTCTGCGTTGGAGTAACTTTCTCGGCTGCAGAGCAGATAGAGACTCGTTCGCATCCATACGAGGAGACATTAACACATATAAGAGGACGAATAAAACAAATTTCAGTTCGAATCGAAATGTAATCAAATAGAATTAAATAACAAAAAAGGATTTCATTTTCACAACAAACGACAGAGAAACTTTCATTTTGCTTGTATTAAAAAAAAAGCTTGCGAATTTCAACTTCTAACGGCGAGGTCCTTTTGTGTTCCATGTAGGTTGCTGCGTCGGGATGTCTGTCTGCATGTGGGTCAGATTGCATAGTTGTTTCAATTTTATGTCGTGTTTATGTCATTGTTATTGTGCTTGTGCTTGTGCTTGTGCTTGTGCTTGTTCTTGTACTTCCTTTATCCTTTTTCCTTGTGCTTATGCTTTTTTGCCATCATTACAAATATTTTTGTATGCAAATAGAAAAAGGACTTAGATCGTAAGGACTTACAATCTGTGCCGTTTTATTTGCATTTGAATTTGTTTATTTAAAATTTAATTTATTGTGTTCAATGAAATTGTTTCGAACATAGTTTTGTTCTTTTGTTCCTAAGGACTATCACAACATCCTTTGCTGTGAGCTTTTTCCATATGTGAAAAATTCAGTGCGGTTTGTTTTAAGCCTGCAAATTATTAAATATCCTTTGATTAGTTCTGTTCTGATAAGAGTCCCAAATAAATGCTCTAAGACTTGGTGTACTGACATGAATAATAAATTCAAAGATGTTTGCTTGCTAATAACGTATTCTCTAAAACAATTTCAGTTGAAATTTAGTTAGAGAAAATGCCCGAAGGACTCATATTCCAAAATTACATTCTCAGAATATGTGAATTAAATTGTATAAGTATATATGTATATAATTTAGTAAGGTATTGTGGTTTAGTATGAAGAAAATGAAGAAAAATTAATTATTATTTTTAAGACATTTCAATAAATGCAGTGAGCAATATTTTGTATCAGATTGTATCGGATTCACTATGAGTTCACTAGGAATAAAAGTTAAAATATTAAAAAAACACCGACTTTAATATAAAAACACATTTCAATACGACATTGTCATTAACGTGTGAAGGATTTTCAGAAGAATTGAAATAATTTTGAACACCATTTCCTCACTTTGGTCGTGTATCATATCATAAGCTGGACAAGTGCCGAACTCTGGCTATTAGTCTTCAAAGCGATAACCAGAGTGCCGAACTCTGGATATTAGTCTTCAAAGCAACTTCACGTCTAGATCGGCAATCAAGGCGAGGGAATCAGTTTTTTTATCACATACAAATCTTTAAAATAATCCAAGTTCTGAATTATTTGTATGCAAATTATTTAGAAAATACTCAATCGTATTTTATTGAACCAAATTACCTGATCACACAGTTCAAAGAGTAGTGGAGTATCTCGCAGACTTTCCGAAAAATCGCTATAGGGATAGTACTCGTATTCATAAATTGGTTGATTGTTTCAATAAGTAAATTAAAGTTAATGGGAGTTACATTAAAGAATATAGTCACTTTTATAATTTGAAATCCTTTTATATGTCCCTTTTGCGAACATACTGAAGAACCCTGTATAATCTTAATTCAATGTTTTCTGAAAACCACAATGAGATTGCACAATTGACACGGAACCAGCACTGTTGTCCGAACATTTGATGTTATTTTTTTTCATAAATTATCACTTCTTGAAGAAGAAAATAAGTTTCTTCCGAAAAAGAAAAGACTACTGCGGTTATGAGAGGAGACCAATAGCCACCATGCCTAACCGCAATAACATTTCTGTCGGGAATGCATTGCACATCCGACAAGTGAGTGAAATTGGCTCATGCCTCATGCTCGACCCAGAAATCCTTTTTTGATTGCTCAAGCATAGTATGAATGACTTTTAATTAACATTACGGATCCTTTCAAACATTTCAAAATGCACATTTATTTAGATTTTTATTGTTCTTAAGTTAATTTATTAGGTTAAGTATGCGACTGATTGTGTGTATGTGTGTGGATGAGTCGATGTGTCGATGTGTCGGTGTGGCGGTGTGTGTGTGTGTTTCGCACACTCAAATGAATAGGTTCGTAAATGAGCCTTTGCCATAGCTTCCAAGATGCTGGTTTGCTCCTTCAACTTCTGTTTGCATTCAGTTTCAAGCTACTTCACATTGTGTGCTGTGTTCTAAGGACTTTGCATTTGATTTGTATGTTTTGTATTTGTTCTCTTGAAACTTCCTTTATAAATTATTAAGAAGGAAATGCCATTTATGCTGGCAGCCTTAAAAGTTTTTACTTAAAGTTTAAAGGTTAAAATGTGAAGTTAAGGCTTACAAATTGCAGTAAATATTTTGAGCGAAAAGTGCTATGCCATGAGATATAGTGCACTCCATCTTATGGAAAAATACATTACAGGTCGTGAATGCTATTTATGAAGATTGATATTACGAACGTAGTTTATTAAAGTATTTTTCATAGAAAACTTGTCAGCAACTAATTTATAAGAAAATTTCAGTAATTCACAAGCAAATTAAAATTAAACTAAATACAATTCATTTCTATAATACAAAATGAAAACTAAAACGAAAACGAAAAGGTAAACCGTTTTAAAAAATCAGAGTTATACATATATTGAATAAGATAGCTATGAGTATTTTAAATTAACCATGGCTATGGATTGCGGTTAAAGTTTCGAAGTGGTTCAGTTTCGTGTTTTGAGGATACTACCAATCAGTGGTTTGCTTTTTTGTATTTTTAGTATAAAGTCATAATAGTTCGGTTTAGATATAGTAAAAAATCAGGATCGTAGGATCTATTTATAGCCATAAAATATGTATTTACACATGTTTTAAAATTGAACTTCGATTGTAAGAACAATTTACTACAACACGCAGATAAGGCAGCTTAAATTTAATCGGCTTCAATTCTTGACAATGCCTAAGAATTATATATGGACATGAAACCAATAGATCCACTGATGACGAACATTTGCTAGTATTAGCCCAACAATACACTTAATTAAAAAATTACCAAATCTATAGGATCTAAAAATTTTCCCAATATAATGACTTATTCTATTCAAAGTGGATTTCTTATCATAGTACAAAAATAATTTTAATTAATAAAAAACTCTAGGTCTCTGCTGCTTAAAAATGCACTCCTAGTAACAGAAGTGAGTTTTGTTTAAAAATATAAAATGTATTGTGCTCTAATTTCTATAAACGTGTTATATGTGTTTTACATGCAAGTTATATCTAAAAGATATAAGAAATCGTTTCTAGTTCACAGAGAACATATCTTGTTTCTTAAAAATAAGAACAAAAAAGAAGAGAGTGTAATCATATTAACATTGAAGATAAGTTATATGTTTAACTAAAAAGATAGAACCCTGAACATAATAAAAACTTTCCTATTTTGAAATGATTATTTTTTTTGATTGGTTTTATAATTGGCTTTGTTAAAATTCCGATCTATCCGATCTATCTATGCAAAGATTTGGCAACAAATTTTGGTCCATTTCTATGTTTTCAACACTTCTATGTTTTTGTCCACTAACCTGTGTTAGTGTGACTTAAATTTAATTTTAATCGAAATCGGTTGCAGTCTCACGGTATCTAGGAGCTCGTAATTTCTAATTTATATAATAATAAAATATATACTTCCACTATCGGATTTATTAAGCCACTACAAAATTCAGTTAAAAATTCTACATTCGCAATTGCAGTTAATTGGCACATGCAGTATTGATTAGCTGTAAGATTTGGTTAATTTGTTTAATAACTGAAAATGGTTCATCATACGATTTAAAAAAAATTTATTTAAAATTTATTAGATAAATTCCTGTTTTGTTTAAACCGAAGAGCAGTATGTGGATATTATGCATTCCTTTCTTGACGCCATACAGCCTAAAAGTAGATTACTAAATTCATTACTATTTCTAACTAACTGTCTTGAGCATCCTCATCCTCATGCTCATTCTCTTCCTCATCCTCATCTGTAGCCTTATTCTTATCCTACACCTACAATATTATTACTATTCCGCAGCATCAGTCCCGGTTGTCCGCATTGTGAGCTAAAATGACGGCTTTCTGTTGTGCTTATGTTAGCTGAGTAGTCTTAGCTGAGAAGTGTTCGTGTGCAATGAATTCATTTTGGGAATAGAATAAAATTGAATAAAATTAAATTTAATGAAATGAAACTTACAACAATTGGCAGCAGTAATTCATGAGTTTCATTGCCACGCCACAAATGTGAATCCTGGGGCACATTTTGTATTTCACATTCCAGCGAATTAATTTTTTCCTGCAGGCGGCTGAGTACGCGAGGACGAGCAATTGGCTTTGAAGGAGCAAATGATTTTGTTGGATTTGTTGCATGTTGATGCAATATACCACTTGGTAAAGTTGTTGTTGTAGTAGTAGTAGTTGTTGTAGTTGGTGTAGTTGGTGTAGTTGGTTTTGGTAAATCTGCTGCTTGCGTTGTTTTGGCATTTGGCTTATTTGTGTTTGTAGCAAGTTTCAAATTTCCAAAAGAAACTTTTCCAGACACATTGTCAACAGCAGCATCAAATGTTGTTCCTGTACTTGTTGTTGTTGCTGCTGTTGCTGTAGCTGTTGCTGTTGTTGTAGTAGCTGATTTTGCTTTACTATTACTTAAAATTTGATCAGTTTGTGTTAAATTTACGCTTTTGTAAATATTTTTTGCTGTTAAGCCTGCAGGCAAGTGGGCTTGGTTGAAAGTTGAAGCCTTTGTGGCAGCAACTGTTGACTGCTGCAATTTAGTGGCTATAATTGTTGGAGCTGTTGTCATTGTTGTTGCTCTCGCTGTTGCTATTGCTGGCTGTGCTGTTATTATGCCACTATTTGATCGTATTGTTTTTAGCATGAGTTTGGCACGTTGTAGTTCCTTTTGGAATTTTCTAAGTTTTGGCACATCGGCTGCCATTGATAAAGCAGCTCCTGATGTTTCTTCCGTTTTCATGGCTGTCAGCTCTTCAACTTCATCAACATTTTCAGACTTTATGTCTATCGTTGTTTGTTCGTTTTTTGGTGCCGTATGGATAGTTCGAGTTGCAGTTACGGGTTGGGTTGCTTTTGTTGTGGAGATTATTGTCGTTGTGGGCTTTAAAGTTACTCTCTTAATTGGTGAGCTTGTTGTGCTTGCGGCATTTGCTGTGATTATGGTTGCTTGGTCAATAGCGCGATGCCCATCCTTAGAAAGCTGCAACTTTGGTATATGTGAAACTATAAATCTGCTGCCAGCACTGCTACTTGGACGAACACTATTTTTATTAGTAGTCAATACGCCAATGTTTCTTTTATTGCCATTAAGACCAGTGCTCTTAGCGACGATGTCGATGTCGATGCCAGCGCCGGCGGCTTTATTAACACCAACATTGCTATTGTTGTTGCTGAGAGTGCTCGCTGTTGCTACTGCAGGTAACTCATTTGCATCTGTTGCTTTCAACTTATTCTGTTTGTTGTGTAGCAACATTTCATTATATAATTCTTTGCTATTGTAAAATTTTGTTGTGGAAAATTCTGGATGTGCGCCCGTTGCGATATTGAATGTTGTTTTGTCAGCCGCACTGCTTGTTGCACTGGAACTTCTTTCGTGAGTCGCTGGTTGCCTGTGTGTGTCGGTGTTGAATTTTGTATTGGCAAAATCAATGTGAGGCATTGACATGACGTCACTGGCAACTCGGTGCATTGGAAGTTCAAAACTTTTCTTAACTCGCCGATCAATGAATTCGTGACCAGCGAAAGCGCCACTTCGGTGATTCATGTTAAAACTGAATTTACCGTGTTTTACATTGAGTTGCTCGACAGATACAGCTGGTCGAAATTGCGGTTCAAGATGTGGCTGAGTAGCTGAAGTAGGATTTGCTATTGGATTTGGATTTGGAGTAGAGTTACCAACTCTCGCTGTACCAGTGCCAGTGGCTGTAGCAACGCTGGCTTCTGTTCCCACAAATTCATTCAAACGGAACTTCTGCTCGATTTCCGTAATAACACCATCCTTTTCGGCCAACACTTTTCCTGTAAAGTCACTTATCGAATCTCTATTTAACAATGCCGGTGCATATCGATTGAGTTGTGCACTGTCAACACTATCGGACCGACTAGTAGATGTTGTTTTTTCTTGTCGCAGTTCCACTTCATTTGGCAACAGATTTTGTTGTTGTTCCTCCATGTCAATGGAGTTATGGTGCTGTGTGTAGCCTGTGCGCTCTTCTACTAGTTTTTTATTCGAATCACGTATAATTGGATTAAAATCCTCAATTTTCATTGGAAACAAATCGATTATGTTTAGCTTACTTGGAGCATTGTTTCTATTCCTTTTTGCATAGCTGCTGTAGTGGTCATTGTTGTTGGATTCGTCGCCGGGAGTATTTTCATCAACTTCATATTCGAGTTGCTGTACAAAGCTTGTAGTAGTAAACTCAGGCGTAACTGTTGTTTCCATAGTTGTAGTTTCAGTTCCAATTGTTGTCGTTGCATCCATTGAAGAAGCTGTTGTCGTTGCCGCTGAAGCTTCAGCTGAAGCAGTTGTCGTCGCTGTTAGCCCATTGAACTCATCAGTTACAATTTCAGCCAGTTTAATGCGATACAAGCCATTGCCAAGCTTACCTTCAGTATGTATATCATTATTCAATGTCCTTAAAGTGCCGGTGTGTATCTCCGGCGACTCCAGGGACTGTTTCGCCACCGCATCTGCAACATTCTCAGCTAATACAGCTGCCAACTTTCTATTATTACTTTGCTGTGTCTGCATTTCCGTTTCACTAGTTGTCTGCTGATTTATCATTAAATTCGCTGTTGCTGTTGCTGTTGCTGTTACTTGTGGTGCTGATGTTGGCGTTGGTGTTGGTGTTGCTGTTGCTGCTGTTGGCTCTATTGGTTCTGTTGTTTCTGCGCTACCAGCAATTTCTATTTCAAACTGTTCATTTGTGTGGTGCAAATCACTTTGTGCCACCGCACCCGGCTTGTTAATCCCCATTGTTGCGCGGATATTATTTTTCTGGGTCTTAGCAGTTTCGCTTTGTGTTGGTGTGAGTACCTCATATCCGCCCTTTTTACTGACTTGATTTGGCACTTCCGTACGTGTGCTGCCAGCTGAACTGGTGCTGGATTTTGTTGTATTTTCCACTATCAATTCTGTTGTCTTTGTTTTCGCTAATGTTGGCACCGTTGCCAGCACTGGCATCGTTCTGCTTTGCTGATCAGGTCTTATTGGTGTAGTTGTAGCAGTTGTTGCTGTTGTCATTGTTGCCGTTATTGTTGTTGCTGTTGCTGTTGCTGGTGTTTCGGTTTGGCTTTTAGTATTAACTTCACCAGCAGCAACTGCATCAGTTTCGGTTTCGGTTTCTACGTACGCGACATTAGTTATCGTTGAAGGCGTATTTGAAAATCGTTCTGTTGTTGCTGTTGTTGTTCCTGCCGTTGTTGTTACTGTTGCTTTTGCTGTATCTACATTAGCTGACCACTTTGGCCCGGGGGTTGTGTGAAAATTTGTTGTTTCAGCTTCAACATTTGAGTGACCAAACACCAAAATTGCTGCAGTCACAAATGTTAATATGCAGATTTTTTTCATTTTAGTTCAGCCAATTTTCTATAATAAAGTTTCTGTTGTTTCTCTTAGCTTTTTTTTTTGATTTGTTTTTCCGATTTAATTGCTAAGTTGCCTTTTTACGAAATTGCTGCTACTGTTTTTTGTTATTATACACTGCAAAAACATGTAGAGAATAGATTCGTTAATGCAATGATAAAAAGAGAAGAAATTGCGGAATTAATATTTCATATAATATAAATATTTTTATCAAAAGTTTCCCTGAAGACGACTATCGAATATAGTCGAAATATCGGAAACATATTTTAATAATATATTAATTGTTTCTAAATATAAATAATAAATTATAGTTTTTTTATTTCTATTTAAATGACCAATTAGCCCAATAATAAATTATTATATAAATATTTTTAATATATTTTATATACAGTTAATTCATTTGAAAAGACTGAAGAAACCAGAAAGATAAAGAGATATATCATATTAAAACTATTTTTATAAATTAAACCTTAAATGACTGTATTAAGGTTTAAACTATAACTACTACCACATAATTTTAATGTATAAAATATTTAATGTCAGTAGAAACCAATTATTTCTCTTAAGTAACTATAATTTAGGAATTATTAAAATGTCAGATTCCAAATAAAGTTCATAAAAAAAACTACATTTTAAAGAAAATTATGAAATAAAAAAGTAATCAAAAGAAGTTGCATTATAAACATCTTAAAGAAAGCATATTTTAACATGAGCCTATATACAGATCATAACAAAAGTCTAAAATTTACAAGTATATAAATAATATCACAATGATAACTAATTCGAGTTAATTCAACGGTTAAATATTTTTTAAGTTAAGCTAACGGCTGTCACCTTATATGCCAGTATAACAAAAATACTAAAGATCTAATAAACTGACTCAAACTGATCTTTTTTGTCTTAACAACATAATTTATGACTCACAAGAAATCTATTATACTTAAAGGATAAAACCTAACAACGACTTTTTGAAAAAAATTGTTGATATTTAAGAGTTCATATATAGTTTTTGAACCAGGACCCTGGTAAGTATGGTGTGTCAAGTCTTACACGCGTGAGTTAATTTTGCACTTGACTTTTGTTGTTCAAAAATGGATATTTATAAATCTATTGTTGTTATTTCACGAGCAAATGTACTTGCTTTGTTAAGTTAGAAAAAACGCGTAAACTACAGCTATATATAAGCTTGTTTGACTTTTGCAGTGTTTGCCGTTAAATGTCTGTAGTATTTCTATCGAATACAAAAATCTAGAATCTATTGATGCTCAGAAATTCCATAAAGTAATAAATATTTGTGGCATTGCTGAATTACTGTGGCATTAGCTTTTATCATTTTTGTTGGTATTCGGTAAAATATCAGTTTATTGTAATTTTGTCTTAAATTTTTGAGTCGTTACGTGGAAAATATTTTAAAAGCCGATTTTTGTTTTTTAATGTTTCAACTTTTATTTCGTACGGTGTATTTGTGTATCTCTAATCGTGATTCGGCAAATTCGCCTTTGCTTACATCAGGAGAATTCCTAATATTCCTAATTTTTTTTGCTAGTTTCTTGCCTTATGTACAATAATATATAAATAAAACAAAACAAATAAAAAACTGTGACAAATCTCTTTTGAAATTATATCTGGAAAGAGTTAAGACGTTTGTCATTTTATTACTTTACCTATATTCGAGTTACCGAACAACTTCTGAATACTCATATTATAAATGACTATTTTCCCATACTATGATAATGATATATATGATATATAATATACATATATATATATACTAGCTGACCCGGCGAACGTTGTTTCCCCTTGCAATTAATTTTCCTGGCGTTCGTTGCGTTGCTCTTAACTTTCATTGTATCCTGGTTTCTTACATCTTCATTGTTCTCTGCCGATCTATTTAACCGACGGTTCTGGAGTAATTGTGAATTCCGAATCCGTCGACCAATACTTCTTCCTCGTCCACGAAGATTGTTTTTTTTTGTACGATATTTTTATCTTTATATATATAATTCTTCTTTTTTGTGTGTTGAATTTTTGAATTCGCTGGATTTACCAAGAATACCACCACATTACTTAAGATTAAAAATTGGCTCACCTATAATTATGCTGCGGAATTTAAATGCACTTAAGCTATGCAACGGCAGTTTTACGATTCATTTTACAAATCAAAGTAAGCATGAATAAATTTAAAATTTTTAATATAAATGTATATGGATACCAAAAAATAAAAAATTGATTAACAAAACATTATCCAGTGGGAAAAATTGTGAATCTAAACCTTCCTTGAATCCACTTGAACACACACAAAAAATTTCATCAAAATCGGTTCAGCCGTTTAGGAGGAGTTCACTGTCAACACACGTACAGAAGAATTATATATATAAGATAATGATATATATATGCAATAACAAATTTGATTAAAATATATAATTATTATATTTTGAATCATTTATAAAATAATGACAATATTTAATGACATTATTTTCTCACAATGAAAACCACACTCTCTTTCAATTAGATCAAATTAGTGCCACTAAATAGCGCTTAAGGATTAAAATGTGCTTCATTGAATATTATGCGCTCTTTATAAAGAATTATTATCAACATTAGCACTTTTATTACTATAAATAATAATAATAACTATTTTTCTGCTATGCAAAAGAGACTCAAAATTTGGTTTAAGCTAAAATTAACATTTTTCCATGGTCATTTTAAATAAATCACAGCAGTTGTTGTTGAAGTTGATCAATTTTTAATAAGCCATTAACAAATATGCACAAATATGCGAATGTATGCAAATAACAAGATTTTATTTGAATAAATAAAACTGTGAGTTTTTTGTGTGTGTAGTAAACATTGAAGGCAAATTACCCACAGGAGAATTTCTAATCAAAAATTTGGATCAAATTCATTTAGCTAATATTCTTTATATGTGCACTTCACAAACAAAATCAAAACAAAACACAACAGAGATTTGCTTTCGTTGCAAAAACGTAATTTGATGAATTTTTATTTTCACTTACAAACAGACAAACAGGCAAACAGACAAAGAAACACAAACATATAGACAAAGTATCTAAATACATAGTCTGTATAATGTATAATATATGCTCGCTGTTAAACAACAGCTTCTGTCTTACGGAGCCACATAAAAATGAACCAGTTGAGTTTTACATATGCTTTCCATACGCTTATACGCCTCCCATATACTCGGTGGAAGCTGTGGTGTGCTGTGCCGTCACTCATACGCACTGTTGTTCTGTGAGTTGAGATTTATTGAGGCAAGTATGGCAAGTATGGCAAGTATCGCATGTGTGGCGTTGTGTTTAGTTTAAATGTCAATGTAATTGTGCTAAGATGACTGTACATATTTATCTACATTTATTTTGACAAATTCACAAATAAGCTCTTCTTGTCTTGGTATGCGTGCAATGCTTTAATTAATGTTTATACGACAACATAAACTCATAAAGACAAGCCCGTAAGACCGAGAATGAAGCAGTAAAGAGCGGTAAAGAGCGGTAAAGAGCGGTAAAGAGCAGTTAAGAGCAGTAAAAGCAAAATGCTTCAAATTGTAGAAAATTACGCATTTTCCAACTACGATTGTATCTGAGAGTGGTACACTATTGTGCGATATGTGCGTGTGTGTGTTGCCTTGCAATTTAATGGCTTTAATTTCTACTGAATTCAATGTTCTTCCAGAATTCTATACACTTGCACATACAGGACGAAAAGCGCACCTACACATGCAATTTGTTATATTTTTATGGCACACATGCACACATGCACAGATGCACAGATACACAGATACACAAATAAACAGATGCGCACACATAAGCAGATGAAGCAGATGAATTGCTGTGAAAATATTGTTTTCTTTAATGCAATCATAAATATCTGTTTATGCACAATAATTAATCATTTCATTTATACGTAGAACGGCACATTTTCGAATCTATATCGCACACACACTCGTGCGAGTGGATGTGTGTTTCGTATCTACAAATTGCGGGAAATTGATTTCATACATATTTTTAAAAGCAATTTCGTTCCATTTTGTTTAACTGCTGCTGTGACTCGCACATAAATGAACTGTAATCACGTTTCCATTGAATCCAATGGTTCCAAATTAATAAATAGTTTGTTTGTTAGTTTATATTGAAGGCAGCATAATATGTCATTAGAAAGCAGTTCACGCCAACTGTAATAAAATGACTATCAGGATGTTGTTATGTGTTTGACCTAATGTGTATTTGAAAACGTAATGGCGACAACAAAGAAAAGGAAATGTTGATAACTGAAACCAAAATCGATTACCGATCCTGTTTTAGTTTCAACAGATTAATCTTTTCAATATTTCAATTAAAACTTATTAACTAAGATATACACATATATATTTAAAATGAGAATGACGTGCTTCGTAGCATAATAGGTGGAGGACTCTGGTTAAGATAGGCATTTTGATCGCAAGATATGGACTAAGTGTTCACTTAAGAAAGACTGGAATAATGATCTAAATACTTTTGAGAGTATGGAAAGAATACAAATTGAGTGGTAGGCATTTTGATCGCAAGATGTGGACTAAGTGTTCACTTAAGAAAGACTGAAATAATGATCTAAATACATTTGAGAGAATGGAAAGAATACAAATTGAGTGGTAGGCATTTGGATCGCAAGATATGGACTAATTGTTCATTTAAGAAAGACTGGAATAATGATCTAAATACTTTTGAGAGTATGGAAAGAATACAAATTGAGTGGTAGGCATTTTGATCGCAAGATGTGGACTAAGTGTTCACTTAAGAAAGACTGAAATAATGATCTAAATACATTTGAGAGAATGGAAAGAATACAAATTGAGTGGTAGGCATTTGGATCGCAAGATATGGACTAATTGTTCATTTAAGAAAGACTGGAATAATGATCTAAATACTTTTGAGAGTATGGAAAGAATACAAATTGAGCGATATGACTTAACATCATTACGTTGTTTACTGGGTGTTAGTTTTATTTTGATTTCAGTGACTGTTCATTGTACTCATTGGAAATGAGTGTGTTTTATCGAATACACATTTTTCGCCTTATGTTAAATGATAAATGCTACTACATCATTAGGTGGTTAT